TGTCAAACAGAAAACATAAATGTAACATCATACTCAGTGAAGGTTGATTCATGTGTATAGTATCTCTCCCTCTAATCAATGTTGCACTGGAATTCCAAGTGGTACCCTCAGGCAGACAAAATAAAATAAATATAAAAATTAGAAAGGAAAAAGTAAAACCCAAGTGCATTTACCAGCAAACTATTAAAGTAAGTGAATTTAGCAAGATGATTGGATACAAGGCCAATATATAAAAAATATATGCTACCAATCAATATATATGCTACCAATATATGCTGCCAATCAACGAGTATAAAATACATATGCTACCAATCAACAAGTATAAAATAAAAATTTTAAAAGAACATAGAAGAGCATTAAGATACATAAGATGCCTAAGAATAAGTCTAATAAACTTGAACAAAACTTCTTTACTGAAAATTATAGAAAAGTCCCGAGAGACATTTAAAAATACTTAAATGGAGAAATATTTCATGTTTATGTAATAGAAAATTTAATATTATTTACAGTGAAATGTATGAATGATTACTTAGGGGTATTCCTTATTTGTTGTGTGTCTGCTAGTTAGAAGACAAAATCTGAATGATTTTGCAGTTGTGTTTATGTATAGGCAACTATGTGTGCTTGTGGATAGAAGATAGGAGAAATCTAGAGCTAAAAATGATTTAAGTACAAGCTTTGATCATTCAAAATAGATACCTTATTAATCTCTTAGAATATTTATTTTGCCTTTGCTGGTGAAAATAGAAAGACAAGGTAATGTTAGTAAGCTAAGTTAAAATGTAGTTGGTTACAACATACGTGAAACAACTTTCTAGTAACATATATCATAGTTTGTCATGAGCTCATTTTGTCATAAAGTTTGTATTTCTGATTTTATAGCTCAGTTGTGATAATAGGTATAATTTATAAAATTCTCTGTGTCTAAGGAATTACTTTACTAACAGGAAGTGCAGCCTAGATAATTATGGAAAACTGTTTTAAGGGGAATTTTAAGAAGTGTTTTTAGGGTATTTTGGAAGCATATATGTAAAGATAATACATAAGACTATAAGGTAAATATTTCAGTGGAATTGGAAGAGTAATCAAGGCATCTCCCTTCAAGTATGGATCAAATTGGACTTGTTTCTTAGCTAACCTTTTTTTTCCTAGAAAAGGTACATTAAAAGTGAGCTATTTCTGCTTCCAGCAGATAGGTACTAAGAGTGTAGATCCAAGCTATCAGTTGACACTTTTCTTCTGAAAACTCAACTGGTTTTTCTCTCCCTTTGTCTAAATCTTCCTTTAAATCAGTAAGATTTAAATTAAAAGTAAGTGTTACTGATTCAGTTGCTATTTAATGAGTACTAGGTGTTAGATGGACTGTAGTACTGGGCAGGAGTTCTGATATTGCCAGCAAGCAGAAGACCAATATAATTCATTTTGATGCTGTCAAACTCAACATGTAACTTTTCATACTTGATAATAAGTAGACATTTTAAAGGAAGAAAATACACTTTCATGAGATGGTGTTAGAAAACCTTCATTCTAGTAATAGGTGGAAGCAAGAAGATTATATTATTTGTGTTTGTTACCTGTTGCAGGATAAAAAGGCCAGTAGTTATCCTGCAATGGGTGTAGCAGCTCAAGCATTTGTTATCTCCCAGATTCTATGGGCTAGAAATTCAGGAGCAGCCTGGCCAGTGATTTTGGTTCAGGGTTGAGGTTGCAGTCAGAACATAACCTGGGATTGCGGTCATCTGAAGACTTGACTAGGACTGAAATATTTGCTTCTACATGGCTCCTTCATGTGGCTGTTGCCAGAAGACCTCAGTTCCTTGTGACTTTTGACAGGTACTGTCACTGTTTCACCATGTCGACTTTTCCATGGGATTTCTTAGTGTTCTTAGTGATTTCATGATATGGCAGCTGGCTTCTCTCATCAAAGAATGAGCAGAGAAAGAGCAAGGAGGAGGCCATGATGCTTTTTATATTCTAATCTTGTATCTCACTCACTATCACATCTATCACATTGTCTTCATTAGAAACAAGTCACAAGAGAGTAGTTTTATTAACTTGCCTAAATATTAGAGTTGAATGTTTAATCCATGTATGCCCAAATACTTAGCCCTTTCTTACCATCATATTGCCACATTTCCATCAGAGAAAGGATCACAGAATTATTCATTTATGACTTTTAATTCATTTATTAACTGTTGTAATATACTGTAAGAGAATGTACTAGACACAGTGTATTCAAATAAAAATGAAACAAGGCCTTTGTCTTTAAGTTCATCCCTATGCTTTTCCTTGAATTCTTCAAAAGATGTCTGTATTGCCTGTCTAGAGCTGCTGGTACAATATCCTAGTTAAAATGATAAAGTGATGACATGTAGGTTAATAACTGGAAGATCTAGAATTGATATGTCTCTGATTTATTTCTTTAATTCTTAGTAACACGTTTATATAATATTTTCTTATAACTAGTAGGAGGCATGTAAAAACCCCAAATCATTTGAAATATGTGATTGGATGAATAGTATAAGGAGTCAGTGACTAATCAGCAGAAAAATCTCTGCTTAGAGAAAACTCAAGATTAAATATTCCTAAGTTGCTTTAGATACAGATTTGGGCCTGATGAAATAATCATTTAAATGTTAACCCGCAACTGTGGTCTTTATTCCCTGTTTATTTCCTCTCCTCCCTTTTTTGCTTTTCTTCTTCTTTTTTATACTTCAGAAATAGAAATAATACTGTCATAGACATTTGGATATAGTGGCCTCAAATAGAAGTAATTAGTATCTACAGAGAGATTCTATCTAAATTTTATTTCTAAAAATAATGAAGAATCAGAATGAAAAATATAAGAAATTTAAAAGATCGTTACAGTTAATGATGAAAAGTTAGAAGTAAAAGTGAGTGAAGTCTTAGTCCATCGAGTGAAAATATGAAAAAAAACCTTAGAGACAAATGATTAATCTATGTGGCCAAATACAGAGAAAATTTTAAAAAAAGATCTCTTTGAGACATTGACAAGTGTCTTCAAATTAAAACAGCCCTTCCAGTGCTGTGTAGGAAAAATCTTTAAATTAAATGGCTTTTCCTTAAATAAGTCTTTTTGAAATTACAGAATACCAATTATTGATAAAAGATATTCCAGAGGAAAAAAATACGTGTATAAGGTGTATATGAAACATAAATGAATTTTGTATTTAAACTTGGGTCCCATCTTCAAGATATCTTATTATGTACATGCAAATACTCAAAAATTTAAAAACATCTGAAATAATCTGAAATATGAAACACTTTTGACCCAAGAACTTTGGATTATATAGATACTCAATCTGTACTGCTTTTTCCCTGGCCTCTTAATATTGGATTGTCTCAGGACTCAACATCTTTACTTCATGTACACTTGGAGATCTCAATCATGTTTATGCCTTTTTTAGAATTATCTATACACTGGCAACTTCCAAATTATACTAACAGCTCATAATTCTCCAGTCAACTCCAGACTCCTATTTAACATTTCCATTTGAATGTCTTATAGATGTCTCAAACTTTAACTCATCTAAAACTGAACTCAAGATATTTTCTCCAAGTCTGCTTCTTCCACAAATTTTCCTACGCTAGTTAATGGAAGCTCCATTTTTCCAGTTGCCCAGCTGTAAAACTTGGAGTCAATCTTGACTCCTTTCTTTCTTTCATATCCCATATCAGTAATTTCTGTTTGTTCTGTTTTTACAACATGTCTGAAATTTGGCAGTTCTCACCACCTTTATTTTTACTCTAGTCTAAACCACTATGATCTCTTGGCAGTATTATTTTGATAGCTTTGTAACAGGGCTACCTCTGCCTTTGACCCCATCCCCTTCAGGCTGTTCAACACAGTAGTAGCCAGAGTATTCATATTAAAACAAGTCAGGTAATGTGTCTTCTCTGATCAAAATTGTTGGATGGTTTTCCATCTCAGAACAAAATTGGCATTTCTCACATCTTACATTAGCCTCTAAAGGTCTCTGTGATATACTCTACTTTATTCTCCCCTCCTTTCCTAATTAATTTTCTGATTTTCATCTTTCTTGTTCATGTCACCCCATACTTCTTGCTATTATTTCATCACTTTTGGAAGTTCACACATCAGGTTCTTCTGTTTTTTATGCCTGGAATGTTCTTACCCTAAATTTATGCATTTTTCTCCTTTTTCTCCCTTACTTCAGGTGTTTGCGCAAGTGAACCTTCTCCAATCACACCTTTTTTTTTTTTTTTTTTTTTTTTTGAGTCAAGATCTTGCTCTGCCACCCTCCAGGATAGAGTACGTGGCAAAATCATGACTCACAGCAGGGTGGACCTTGCTCAGGTGATCCTTCTGCTTCAGCCTCCTCAATAGCTGGGACAGTAGTTGTGCACTGCCTTACCCAGATAATTTTTTTTTATTATTATAAATGGATTAATTTCAAAACAGAAGAAGGTCTTTTTGTATTTGTTACAACTTAAAATGGTAAATTGTTTTTCCTGATTTAGAATAGGTTCTTATTTGGGATTAAATATCTGACCAATTGACTATTACAAAGAATAAGTACATCATTATTCATACACATTATTAATTGTCATAAGCCATTGTACATTTTTTTTAAAATGAAGTTTGTATTCTTAGGGTTAACTTATAGGGCTAAAGGAACTATAGTACTTAATGGAGAAGCAGAGATAGCATGGTTTGGTTACAGACCCCACTCAGTGCTTCTCCCAATATATTTACTTATTTATTTATAAATTATATATGTGTTATTGTCATTGGCGATCTTAAGGATGATATATACTTAGGTCAAGGTTTATCAAGAATAGATATAAATCGGTATTTCAAAAAATCGGTAGTTCTAGGATTTTTGATTGACTGTCAAATCAGATTGTATTTTTCAAAGTTATAAGGCTAACAGCCTCATTAGGAGGAGAAGTATCAGTTTTGCTATTTTTTACGCTTGTATTGTTAATATTTTGTTCAATTCATTGTTTCTTTGTAGGAATCTTCCGCAGCTTATCCATTGTGTGGCTAGAAGCTAAGTTACATTCATAATTCTACTGAACTGGGCAAACTGAAAACTGCCATACATGTCACAATACACTGAAAAAGAGCCAGCAGGTAAGGAAGGTATCAATTCTTCTACATTGAATACTTCCTGTTTTTTCCTCTGGTACCTTGAGTACCGTATGTAATATGTGATCATCGGATATTTGGTTTTACTAAAGGCCGGTTTTGATTCATATATATATATATATATATATTGAATTTTATAAAGCTTAATTTCTAATTTTTTATATGAAAATAAGTATAAATAAAAATTCTATTTTATTTCTATAACCCCTCAGCTTGGAAAGCTGTTGTGCTTTCCACTTTGGTGACTATTATTATTTTGGAAGAGTTGTTAAGAGCATTGGTTCTGGAGTCATACTATTGCATTATTGGACAGATTGCTTAAATACTTAATTTTAACCATAATTTTTCAATTTTCAAAGTAGAATACCAGTATCCACCTCATAAGTTTGTTGAGAGGTTTAAATAAGATAGCGTAACACTTGATTTTGTATATTATTTATACATGTTTATTTCTCTTTTGTGCTTGGAGGTAATTATAATTCTTACTTTAATGCAGTAAAGCAAAAATATGTAATGGTTCCATTTGCTGACTGTACCAAGTACTGTGAGAAAATATTTTTTTGTTCCTCTGTAGATATGTAATATATAATTGACTAAGCAAACCTATAATATATATGGTTATATAAAATAATGTGCTACTTAATAAAAGTTGCTACTGTTTACTACCATATATCCCTCAGTCATCAAAACTTAACATCAGATTGTTTAAATGATGACCATTCATCAATAGTTTTGAAAGTTAGAGTAGCATATGCTCAACTTAGCCCATCACTATTGTTTTCTGGAGAATTCGATCTGACCCTAGTCTTTGGGACATATTTTATTGTGGTCTAGTTTATTCCTTGTGGTACAGATGCCATTTAAAGAAGTTGCCGGCCGGGCTTGGTGGCTCAGCCTGTAATCCCACACTTTGGGAGGCTGAGGTGAGTGGATTGCCTGAGCCCGCGGGTTCGAGACCCGTTTGGGCAACTTGGCAAGACCTCATCTCTACAATAAATCAAAAATCAACCGGGCGTGGTAACCCACGCCTGTAATTCTGGGTACTCGGAGGACTGAGGTGGAAGGATCGCCGGAGCCCAGCGGGTCGAGGCTGCGGTGACCGGGAGTGGCCACTGCACTCCACTGCGACGGAGTGAAACTCCAACTCAAAAATAAATAAATAAATAAATAAATAAGTTGCCTATTGTCATTGACATAAATGTGTTCACTCTTAAAGTAATTATCGTATCATGTCTATATATATATACATATAGAGAGAGAGAGCACTTGTATGTAAGGTATTTTACTTAGGTAATTTGGAAAGTCATTCTCCAACCCATGAAGAGCTTTGACTGTATAATAATTTGGCATATGAAAAAAACCTTTTCTGGTAGATTTCATTGTTAAATTCTGAAAGAATCCTTAAAGTTACCAGATTTTATAAGCTATTTTCTTGGTGGAGAAGAGGCTACTAACTCTCATTACATAGTATTTCATGTTTAATTTTCTAATGTGTAAGAAGAATAATGTTTTATAATACAAGTAAGATAACCTTGATATTCAGTAGCATATGATTTGGTGAGTTGAGTAACAACATAGAGATCTCACTGGATCAAGTAGTTTCTCCCCAACTGGTGGCCAGAATAAAGCTTTTTGCTATCCCTTTGTTTTTTTGGTTTTTTGTGGGGGTTTTTTGCTTGTTTTTTTGTTTTTCCTTTTTTTTTTTTTTTTTTCCAGCAATGGATCAGGAATCTGGCAAGGCTGCCTGGCCCAAACCAGCAGGAGGATATCAGACAATTACAGGCAGGAGATACGGAAGAAGACATGCATATGTCAGTTTTAAGCCATGTATGACCAGACATGAAAGAAGCTTGGGTCGGGCTGGTGATGACTATGAAGTTTTGGAACTAGATGATGTTCCAAAGGAAAATTCCTCAGGTATGTAACATGTAGTTATTTAAGGAGTCTTAATAGTTATATAGGAATTGATACTGTAATATTTAAGACTTGAGTGTGTTTTATGCTTGCCTATGAGTGTAAAGGCAGTACATCTTCTGTCAGGAAATTTTATTTTGAAATTCTTATTGAAATTAATAGATATACATTTAAACGTAGAAGAAAATATAATGCAGCCATTTATTAAGATATAATTACACTGTTATGACAGTGATTATTCTATCATATCCTTTATCTAGAGCAAACCATCTTTCTATAAAAAAATTTTTTTAATGTGAACTGAGTACAGATATTTTCCCCTGTATATTACATTTAAATAACTTTTCTTCTTTTAATATTATCTCTAAATTTAGCCTAGCTAGTTTACCTTTTTCATCATTTTCTAAAGTCCAAATGTCAAGTAAGGCTATTCAATTAAAATAATTCAATTATTTAAAAAAGTATTTAGCAAGATATCCATATATTATAATTGTACCTTTTTTGGACTGGATTTGTCTTTTTCCTCTGCAAACCTTTTCTTCCTAAGCAAACTTGATAGTTTAGATTACTTTTACTGTCATATGTGTGTTTATATATATATGTGTGTATATATATGTTCATATATATATGAATCTGAATGATGAACTATGGTTATCCCATTAAAAAACCTTTTTTGCGATATGACAAGGCTGATCTTCAGTTATTTTATAATTTATAAATTTTTGTTCCAACATCTCCTATGTCTTCATTTTTAATTATTAGTAGCAACTAAAGATAGTCATGCTTAATTTATAGATGAGATATAATTTTACTCATGTCTCACAATTAAATTGTGATAGAGAAAAACCAACATATTTGCCTGTTCATTGTTTTTTAGTCTTAGCTATAATGCCTCTAAAGTGTTTTACTCATTGTAAATGAGTAAAGTATTACAACGACCCATTTTTGGGATAGAAATCTAATATAGTCCTAGAGACTAAGATATAATCTTCTGAATTGGCATCAAAACACAATAGGGTTTCTTTTTTTGTTTGGGTTTTTTTTTTGGGTTGGAGTCTCACTCTGTCGCCCAGACTGGAGTGCAGTGGCCGCTCCTGGCCACCACAGTCTTGACCTGCTGGGCTCTGGCGATCCTTCCGCCTCAGCCTTCCAAGTAGGCGGAATTACAGGCGTGCGCTACCATGCCCGGCTAATTTTTTTATTTATTGTAAAGATGAGGTCTCGCCAAGTTGCCCAGGCGGGTCTCAAACCCGCAGGCTCAGGCAATCCACTCACCTCAGCCTCCCAAAGCGTGGGATTACAGGCTGAGCTACCTAGCCCTGCCACAAAATAGGGTTTCATTTCTCTTAGATCTGTTGTTGTTAGGTCTGTCATAAGTACTTTTGAAGTTTTCTTACCTGCATGTAATAAAGAAGGTGAGTTTAGAGATCACTGGGAGGGCAGATTGGTTACCTCTATGACTCCACTTATAAGAGGCTTACCATTGTATAACCTCTTACTAGTTTCTCCTTTATTTGTCTTGCAGAAGGCATTAGGTATTAGTATTTAGGTGAAAAAGTGTCTGCCAAAGACATGAGGGAGAAGATATTGAGAGGCTAGTGAGTAACATAAAAGAATTTATAGGGGAACCAGTCTGTATTCCCAGTGAGGGAACACAGAAGCTGAATAAATGCATCCATGTTTTCAAGTAGATAATAATTGGTCTGATTTCCATTTAAATGTTAGTTATTACATAAAATTTTATCTAAATTGAGCCCTCAAAATATGTTTTCTTTTATTCTCTGTGAAGGTTCCAGTCCATTGGATCAAGTTCATTCTTTATCCAATGAGCCTGTATTTGAAAAAAGTGAAACAGAAATTTTCACTTGTGGCACAGCATTGAATCAAACCATTGAGAGCAGTCCATCCTTTGCTGCAGTACATCATAGTGAGGAAGGTAGGGCGACCCTAGGAAGCAGTGCGAATCTTCATAATCACTCTGAGGGAGAGTATACTCCAGGAGCTTGTATTGCTTCAAGTGTCCAAAATGGAATTGCGTTGGTTCATACTGACTCTTATGATCCAGCTGGCAAACATGGAGAAGATAATGACCATCATCAACTTTCTGCAGAAGTTGTGCAAGGTGGTAGATATCAGGAATCATTAGGCAATACGATACTTGAGATGGAAAATGGAGAAGCAGAGGCAAACACTGGTATTTCACCACCAGTTCCATCATTTAACTGTGAAATAAGAGATGAATTTGAAGAGTTAGATCCAGTACCTTTGGTGAAAAGTCCTACTGGTGATACTGAGTTTGTCCATCAGAACGGCCAGGAATTTCAGAGCTCTTCTCAAGATGAAGTTACTAGAAAGAAACAACAAAATAATATTAGCCGGGAAACGCAGACAGAAAATTCAACTGAAGATGCAGCCTGTGTTCCAGAGCATATTTGTAGTGAACAAAATGCCAGTGATAGGGACAGCAACCGTGGAAGTTCTCCTGAACAGGTAGTGAGGCCAAAAGTTAGAAAACTGATAAGTTCAAGCCAGGTGGACCAAGAAACAGGTTTTAATAGGCATGAGGCTAAACAAAGAAGTGTTCAGAGATGGAGGGAGGCTTTGGAAGTTGAGGAATGTGGCTCAGATGACCCCTTAATAAAATGTGAAGAATATGATGGAGAGCATGACTGTATGTTCTTGGATCCACTTTACTCAAGAGTTGCCCAAAGGGAAAGAGAAGATAACCAAAGAGCAGCAAAAAGTGGAGCCAGAGCAGGAAGGCCAAAAGTTGTGGATAGTACCTTTTGGAATGGCTGTGGAGATTATTACCAACTCTATGACAAAGATGAAGATAGGTAAGGTATTATGCAGTACTTTATAAGATTGTGTAGTGAGCAAAGTGGTTTATTTCTAGTACCATGATGTTTAATGGATGGGCTGTCTCCTATGATCAGGGAATTAGATATTTTGACTTACCAGATATTCTTATTTACTGAGCATTAATCATACTATTGGTTAGAGATTTTCACAGAGACTTTTAGAGGCATTTTATTTATAGAAATACTAAGTTCAGATAATGATTATTAATTATTATAAAAGTATAGAGATGCCAGTTATTGCAATTCATGGTATTTCAATTAATGAACTTCAAGGTAAGCATTTGTTGTATTACCAAAAGCAAAAAAAAACTTTATAAGCCAGTTTGGGTTTAAAAAGTGATTGAAATCACAGAAATTACAGATTAGTAATATATCACATTAACTTTGCTAATGGTTATTTATGTCGCTTGTTTTTCTCATTATCTGTTCTTCCTATTGCTCTTCCCATCACTAAGTTTATTTTTTACTTATTTTTACTTAGTATTTAGTTCTAGTTAACAACTTTGTGTAGTAGATACTATTTTCCCCATCATTTGTAAATGAGGAAACTGAGGCACAGAGAGCTGACTAACTTCCTAAGATAACAAAGCAACCGGAATTTGAGTACATATTTAACTACTAACTCCAGAGCCTGCGTTCTTCACTGTGTTGTTTTCGACAGAACATATATCTTTTCTTGTAATGAGCATTTTAATTTCTCTTACAAACATAGATTCTTTTTTTCCAAATCATAAGACAACAGAAAGAAGCAAGAAATGAAGAACCTATTTGTACAACTACTGAATTTCCATTACCCTAGAGACTAAACTTACATGGGTCTTTTGAAGCTAGTTGCAGCTTTGACAGTGCTTGATTACAGTGCAATTGTAAGATTTTATTAACTAAATAGAAATTTTTTAAAAACTAGAAAGTACTATAAAGGAAAAAGTTTTCCATTTTGAATGTGAATGCAGTTTGTTTTTATTATGTCATAAAATAGTAAACATTTGATTTTCTCTGAGCATATGAGTTAACCTATTATAGTATGTATAACTTATTTTCGAAAACAACTGAAATATAATTTGTACTGCTGTCTTAAAATGTATAAACTTTAAGGTTAGCAGATAATTTTTTGTATGATCTGCTGTTTCAAGCTAAGGGTGAAGTTTTTTTTTTTCAGTGTAAATTTATAATCTTTTATCCAAAATCCACCAAGTTCTAAAGACAGAAATTAGCCACAAAAGCCTGACATGTTGCTAACTTCTTTGATAGCAGATCTGGATCTGAACTAAAATGAGACTGTTTTGTCAAGTATTTATACAGTTTGCTGCAGAAATGGGAATATAAATATTTTTGATTACTGTGTACGGCCTGGACCTCATTGGGGGTGATTAAGCAGCATTAAATCTGGGGGGAAAATAACTAAATTCCAAACCATAGTTAGTGCTAAGATTTTTGGATTAGATTGTGAACCCCTAGTATTGTACCTCTAAGTTACTATTAAAAGAAAAAAACAGGCCAGATGCAGTGGCCCACTCCTATAATCACAGCGCTTTGGAGAGGCTAAGGCAGGAAGATCACTTGAGCCCAGGAGTTTGAGACCAGCCTGGGCAACATAGCAAAATGCCTTCTCTACAAATGAAAAGAAGAGAAAAGCTTACAGTCTTTGATAATTTATCTTTTTAAAAGTATAAAGTAGTGTATTTCTTTCCCAGTTATATTTTTGCTTCTTTTAAGAAAATTATTTAACTTGCCGATGTTTTTGCTGCTGGTGACATGTTAGTAAAAATACAAACCTCTTACTTTTTGCTTGCTTTTTATATTTGGGTCTAATGTCATGTAATAAGGTTGATGAACTCTTTATAGTATTTGCCAAATCCAAGAGAAAGGGTAGTTTTCTTGGCTCCTGGTTTTCAAATTGATTTTTTTTTTTTTTTGCCAGTGGTATAAGTTTTCTTTGCCTAAAAGAACTCCGGACTTGTAATGGTTATAAGGTGTTAGTTGTCGGTAATTTTTGTTATTTTTATTTGTAATTTTTTTCTTAAGTGAGATGTCAATATTCTGAACAATGATAGTTGTTTTTCTTTTAAGTTTTTGGGAAAACTTATAGTTAATACAAACCTTTTCCTTTCAATTTGTTAGTAATATATTGACTTACTGAGCTTGTAGTTGAGGTATGCCAAAATGAGAAACTACCTTAGGATCATTCTTTAAGACACATTGAAATGCTAAAAACAATTAGGGTTTTGTTTTTGATTTTAAGAATCACAGAATATGTTCCAAAGGATAATGCTTCTACCTAGGACTATACTTATATTAGCATCTATGAGCATGAAGCTACATTATGAGACCTTATTTCAGTAGTTTGCACAATTTTGATGAGAAATTCTGTTTCTGTGCTACTGTTTCCTGTTCCTCTACCCTAACTTCCTGCAAAGTATTATAGCTGTCAGTGTGCTGTTTTAATATGGTGCCAGTGCAAGGTTGAAATCTAGTAGCTGTACACTCCTACTTGGTTTCTTTTTGCCCTTGTTCATCTACCTCATGTTTTACTGTCGTCCTATTCTGTTCTGATATTAGCAGATTAGAGAAATGAGGAAATGGTGACTTGACTCGTCTGAGTTTTTTGATGGAGAGTATAAAGAGTTTCTGCTTAATTTGAGTTTGTGAGGTATTTTTGAGTTTGCTTTGTAAAAACTTAAAGGTGATAGATGTGAAAAATATTTTGTCATTTTTACATTAGCTACAAATGGGACTCTTATCAAGAACATACCTAAAATTTATTGTGACATTTTTAGATGAAGGATCTTTGGCTACTTATTAAAAATAGGGATTGTATATTATTTATGAGTAGAAAAAATATTTTAATGAATGCATCATCACCTTCTTCCCTGGAATTTCTAAATGATCATTAATCACGTGTGAAACATTACATTCTATGGAATAAGCATTGCAGCTGGTAGCATTGCTCTGAGCTGTTTTACGGGAACTGAGCACCACCTTATTAAATTAGAACTGCAAGGAAAATTTTAATAGGCAGCATATAATTACCAAGCTTGGAATTAGACCAAAGAGCTAAGGTTAATACCCTGCTCTTTTGAAATACACCCTGAGAACTTGTTGGAGGACAAGATCTTGAGTTTAAAGAAGTCCTTCAGCAGTAGTAGCACATCTTAACCTTGGGCCTAACTGTTCTGAGGAGAGGCATGCCATCTACTGACCATTTATTATAGCACTTGAGGTTTCTCTCAGAGTTTTTGTGTCCCTAATATTTAATTTTGTTTAAAAGGTAAAAAAGCCTTACTTCAGGACTTTTTTTTAAAAAATATATTGTTGGGAGAATAAAGTGACTATAAGCCATTTAGTTTATTTCGATTTGTTATATTAAAAAAGAATTTATTGCAAGCCTCTTAAGTGCCAGGCTTTGTTTCAGGTTCTCTGTGAAGGCAAATAAAACAATGGCCCCTTTTCTTGCAGTATTCACCAACCTTATGAAGAATACAAAATATACATAGAGGCTGAATTATCTCCTTTCCTATTCTATATAGATTATCTGAGAGCCATGAAGAAAGAGTACACTCAACATTCTGGTGCAACCCCAACAATAAAACATCTACATGCAGCCAAAGCAAAGATCTTAAAGCACATGCTCTTACATTTTAAACAACCTTTTTTTTCTTGTTTTCAAGAAGGATACATGGGTTGGTTCCTTAGATCTACTATGAAGTTCATGTGATTAAAATATCCTAATGTTAAAGAAAGGGACCAGAACGTGGTAAAAAGCAGGCATAGTTCAAAAATCACAGCAATCTGGGCCTTAATGAAATTAAATAGGCTTATATTTTGAACATACTCCATTTGTATCACTGTATTACACCACAGTTCAATGTTAATAGTGGTGAAATGTCCCAAAATTCTTAGATTATGTCAGATAACAAAATTATCTAAAATTTTACTATTTCTAGGCTTCTGTAGTTGAAGTTCTTATGGATGTGATAAATGCCAAAAAAACAAAAACAAAAATAAACCACATACATACAACCAGTTCCTTGAGGAGTTAGGGAATGAGAGATTGCTTTTGGTTGGTTTTATGCTTCTATATCTTATTTCTACCTAGGATTTGTACATAAATTATTTTGTCTATAAATCACATATAATTTCATTTTGTATATGAGGGAAGTTTTTTTTTTTTTTTGGTTCACAATTGAATGTGTAAAGAGTATAACATAGTTGTCTGCTTTTTGAAAATAACTCTAAATGCTGACAGGGGACAATACCAGTGAAGTATCATATGAAGATCAAAGTGGTACTTAATTTAGTTTTTACTTTGAACATTTAAAAATGCTTAACTCATCTGTTTTTTAAAATCAAGAACAAATGGATCTTCACTATTCAATGATTTGTCTTATTTGTGACCTGTTTATTCTGTTGCTCACTTCTCCTTAAAAAGTTATTTTTAAGTCTTTTCTCTTTTTTAGTTCAATGTACTCTTGTCACTCTTGGTGAATAACTTTGTTTCTTGTTTACCTGTAGATATTGAAATAATTAAATGTGAATTTTGTTTTTTTCTTCATATTAGAACACTTTAATATCTATTTCTAATTCTTCAACAAAGAGAGATATCTCTTCTCATTCTGTGTCTATATTCATTTCTGATACTTTAATTATTCTTATTCTTAGGTTGCATCCCTCTCTGTTCAACCCTGAATTTTTCTAAATCTTGAGGAAAACCTTCACTTGATCTTGCTCCCTTTGTCTGTCATTTACTTGCCTGTTTATTTTCTTTTCCACTACTGAATTTTAAGAAAAAATGTTCCATACCCACTGCCTCTATTCTGTCACTTTCTGCTCTTCTTAACTGCCTTGAAATCCAGTTGCTAGTATTATTTCTATATTCCTGAATGTCAACATTGGCCTCCTAATTTCCATATTCATTTGTCTTTTCTCAGTACCCATTATCCTTGACTTTTCTGTTACTATTCAGGCTGTTTACTTCTACTTCTCCACAGTTTCTCTTGTATTGACCTATGTTGGTTTCTTCTTTTCTGCTTCTTCTTTGGTTCCATGGGGTCTGCAATCTTTTTCTTAAAAAGTGGCTACACAGTAAATACTTTAGGGTTTGTGGGCCAAAAGCAAAATGGAGTATATTATATTGGAACTTACCTAGCCATTTGAAAATGCAAAAAACATTTTTATTTTCTAGATGATTAAAAAATGATCAGGAGGTCTGATTTGGCTGATGGGCTAGCGTGTAATTTTCTGGCCTCTGGTCTGGTGTAAGGACGACTGAAGTTCATTGATTGACCAGAAGACTGATATTGTCACTAAATGTAGACAAAACAGAGGATACAGAGGAAAATAGTGGTGTGCTCGTAGGAAATCCAATTGAAATGTCTAAGCTGATGGGCTACCGCCTTCATTAAATGTTCACCGTTTCCCAAAAGTTGTGCTAAACATCTTATTTGCAGTATTCATTTAAACTTCAGTGTAGACCTGATAAGTAAATATTAATATCCTCATTTTGCGGATGAGGAAAAGTGTGGTTAGAGAAGTTCATTGCCTAAGCTTTCATTACTAGTAAATATCTGAGCCAGGATCCTAACCCAAATTTCTTACTTCAAAGTTTGCCTTTACATGGTGTTCTACCTCCAGAGGTAAGAAAAAGACAGTTGTGGATGGAACTTTCATCTGATATTAAATAAAGTACTTTGGTTCTTTAATAAATCACCCATGGTAGATTTTTTGTTTTTTGTTTTTTTGGAGTTGGAGTCTCACTCTGTCGCCCAGACTGGAGTACAGTGGCCGCTCCCAGCCACTGCAGCCTCAACCTGCTGGGCTCTGGTGATCCTTCCGCCTCAGCCTTCTGAGTAGCCGGAATTACAGGCATGCGCTACCACGTCCGGCTGATTTTTTGATTTATTGTAGAGATGAAGTCTCGCTGCCCAGGTGGGACTCAAACCCGCGGGCTCAAGCAATCCACTCACCTCAGCCTCCCAAAGGCACGGGATTACAGGCTGAGCCACCAAGCCCGGCGGTAGATTTTTTTGTTCTGTTTCCTTGGGAGTAGAAAATCTTAGTCATAGTTGCACAGTCTCCTCAGACTAGTATTCTGAACCAGTGTAGACTTGTAGAGCTATAAATTAGTAATAGACATTAAGTGTGAAGATTGTCAATAGATTGTATTCATAATGAAATATTAATAGAAAATGTTCATATATTACTTTTAATCACTCATATCACAAATGTGTATTAATTTGTGGAACATACTTGAAAATATTCACTGTTGGCCCCTTCCAGATAAACTAATATCACTAAGCATTTTTTATTTAAATTGCAGCCTTTAGTATAACTTTCTAAGACCTTATGAGTACCTCACTATTTAGGCTCCTTGGAAACTGCTGATAAGTTATTAAAGAAGCTGTGTTTTTGTACTTAGGAAAAATAACTGCAAGGTTAAAGAAGTAGCTGTACTATAGTGAGTTGCACTGAGTAAACAAGAAGTCTAGTTCATGAAATAATTGAAAAACAAAGAAGCAATTTTATGCATTTCTTAAAAAAAATAGAGTCCTATCTGGTCCTGAAAAGGGGAAAAAAGGTGAAGTATTTAAATTATGAAGACATTCTTGTTGGCGAGAGGAATGGTTGTGGTGCAGTTTACACTTTGGAAAGAGTGTTTGGAATAGAACGCTCATTCAAGGACATTTGGATGCAAGAATGTGCTGGGATCAGGTTGTGGTAAATCATAAACGCTATTCAAATGCATTTAACTTTTAATTTATTCTGTAGGCCCTTATTTCCAAAGCGGGTGAAATATATTAAGTGGTATATAGACAAGTGTTTTTAATTTTAATCATTATGTATTTTAATGGAATTTAAGAAAATATAACTAACACATCAAATGTGACTTAATGGCTGCTGCTTATTCTAACTAAATTTATTAGTTTTTTAAAAGTTATTTAAAAAAGATTTGCTAACAGTTGTTGATGGCTTATTATTTATCAGACACTGTTACAATATTGTATATATACAAATTCATTTACTCCTGACATGGACTCAATGAATACTATTGTATTCTCCTGAAATGTGAGGCTCTCATGGTGCAGAGAGGTTTTCATAGCTAATAAGTTGTGGGTTCAACTTCAGGCATGCTGACTTCAGGACCTGTTTTCTCAACTTTTGTACCATCTACACAGAGTTAATATACAACCATAGTAACAGTTTTGTGAGTGATAGGCAAATGGCTTAAATTTCTGAAATGCTGCATTACAAAAAAAGAACTGTTGAAGGTTTTTGGTGTAATACAGTAATGTACTACTTAATAGAAATTGAAGTCATGGTGATATTCAGAATGCATTTTTTTTAGGTGAGTTGAGGGAGTCGGATTAAATTTATATTAATTATATAATTAACAATTATGTCTAGTTTGAAGAAAAGCATTTAAACCAGGGTTTTGTTTTGTTTTTTAGGAGAAACAGAGAAAAAGGAGCTAGGATATAGCAGCCATTGTGCAGAGAAAGAATGGAAAGTAAGAAAGGACTTAAATGTAGGAAATTTATAGAGTCAAAAAATAAATGATTTCCAGAATGAGAGCATAGTAATACCATTAGAAGATAAAAAATTGAGAAAGGAACTCATCTAGCTGATGAATTTTATAATAAAACATAACTCTTGAAAAGGAGGGTGAAAAATCTAAAAATGCTCTGTAGGCAGTTGGTGATTATGAAATCTTAATATGGTGGTTAAGGGTGGAATATATGTTTAAAATTTGTCTCCTGAGCATTGAGGCTTATGTATAATAAGCAATAATGATATGAGCCTGGAGTCTGCAAACTTTTTTATAACGGGGCAGGTGGTAAGTATTTTAGGCTTTGCTGACCTATGCAAAATTAAATGTAAAAAGACCATTTTTAGCTTACAGATCATTAAAAAAATAGGCAGCAGGGCCAGGTTTGGTCAAAAGCCTATAGTTTGCCAATCCCTGACATAGGCTTTTTAAAATAGATTGAGCCGGACTCGGTGGCTCAGCCTATAATCCTGCGCCTTTGGGAGGCTGAGGTGAGTGGATTGCCTGAGCCCGCGGTTCGAGACCCACCTGGGCAGCAAGACCTCATCTCTACAGTAAATCAAAAAATCAGCCGGGCGTGGTAGCGCATGCCTGTAATTCCGGCTACTCAGAAGGCTGAGGCGGAAGGATCGCCGGAGCCCAGCAGGGGAGGCTGCGGTGGCCGGGAGCGGCCACTGCACTCCAGTCTGGACGACCAAGTGAGACTCCAACTCAAAAAAATAAAATAAAATAAAATAGATTGACTACTGAACACAAACACTCTTCTGTGTTAAAATTTAGATATTTCATCAGTTATTTCATTAATCTGGAATAGTAAAGTTTCATGTGTTATCTCTCTGGACAGGATCATACTGTGACTGAAATGTTAAAAAAATTAGGTCTTTTATCTAAGTATGTTAAAAAAATGACCACAAATTTATATGAAAAGTTTCCCTAATTGTTAAAGACATATCAAAATAGGAGTTGGTAATTAAGTTTTAGACTTGAGAAGTTTCTTAGTTGGGGAAACTTAGCCCAATAAGCTCTTTTTAAATGATTTCCTCCTGTGTTAGATTTTGATACTTATAGAGGTCTAGATACAGCTTATTTTAGATTATTCTTAGGGTCACAAATAATTCTTCAAAATACAAGCAACTTTGGATCATACCTAGCTGAAAGAATACCATTTAGTTACTGTTCCTGGACTGTATTGCATTCTTTCTTAAGGGTTTGTGCCCTGCTGCCCAGTATTTACTGAAAATTGGCAGATGATTTTATGTGTTTGCTTCTATTAAATCTCTCAGAGCTCAGATTAGTGCTGCTGTTTGTTTATAGCATATTGATTTCCTGAGTTCACCTAACAGGAGAAACTCACTAACTAGATATTATGACATAATAATCTTCATTAAGAAAATGTAATTTCCTACCAATTATCACTTCTTTTCAAAAACCGTAAATTAAAATTTGTTATTTTTTGATTTCCCTAAAGTCAGATGAACAAATGGAAATCTTTACGGAGATTCTTAACAAGAGTAGTTGATATGGTTGGAAAAGGCATTTAACATTTATAAGTAATATTGATAAGTAATATTTTACTTATCAACACTGATAAGTAATATTTTCAACATTAACAAGGTTAACATTTTAGCCTTTGATAGTGTAAGATGATTAACTCTTTAAAAACTAAGACTAGTTCAGTATAATAAAAATTAACTTTCTGTGGTTCTTTATTCTGTTTATTGTACTTTTTTGTTTCATTATCTAACTATTCTCTTGAACTGAAGTTTATTTTGTGTTCACCGTCCTACCTAAGAATTTCCATAAAGTTTTGTAGTGTTTTTATGAATGTGAATATCCCTAATTTTAAAAGTTTCTTTTGTGTGTGGGAAAGGAAGGAAAAGACCGTTAAACTTTTACTACATGGTAATAGAGGAAACTTATTCATAGAGAATATGTTATTTGTTGTCAATCTGTAAATAGAAAGTTGTTTTAGTTGGGTTAGGTGAGTGATAAATCTGTCATTATTTATTCCAGATAGCATTTAAGATTACTAAATTGTATTTAGATGTAGTCTAAAATATGACAAGCTTATACGTAGTTATATTCTTTAGTGAAAGAAAAAATAAAGTGATATATTCCATAATTTGCCATATATCATAGTCTTTTGAAAGTGTTACATTCTGCTGCATCTGTTTATTTCTGTATGTATTTTTTTAAATAGTTAAAAGGTTGAATTAGCACCTAACGAAACATGTGTGGCATGACTCCAGCAGTCTGCTGTGATGCCTGGTTAACACACCAAATGATAAAAATAACCAAACAAATAATAATGGTTTATTTTATTTCTGTTCTGATTTGTAGTTCAGAATGCAGTGATGGGGAATGGTCTGCTTCTTTGCCGCACCGATTTTCTGGTACAGAAAAAGATCAGTCCTCAAGTGATGAAAGCTGGGAGACCCTGCCAGGAAAAGATGAGAATGAACCAGAGCTACGGAGTGATAGCAGTGGCCCTGAAGAGGAAAACCAAGAATTATCTCTTCAAGAAGGGTATGTTTAGCAGGGAGATTTATTTTATTTTTATGTATATTGTACAACAATGGTATACATTACATTCAAATGTTGGATATGCTGCTAATTGCGTTTATAAACCTTATGTAGGACCAATAGAACCTACTGATTTTTTTTCGTTTTGTTTTTAGTATTTTAAAAAGAAAAATTAAATGGAAAATACTGGTAATAAATGCTTCCACTTTATGAAGAAAACTTAGACGCATAAAAGGCTTGGTTAAGTTAGGATTGAGTGAATTGGAGCTGCCATTGCTATACAGTGGAGGTAATGGCAAGGGGGAAAGGCAACCTCAAGAGGGAAGTTAGTGATTTATTCACAGAAATGGAGACAGTTGCAAAAGTTGAAGTTTTCATATTCTTGTCTACTTGCATTGAATAATATTTCCAGAACATCGGTAATTGATGGTAAACATTTTTGTCTTTTCCTCACTTTCATAGGAATGCTCTAATACAAGGGTTATCAAATTTATACTGTGAAAGATCAGATAATTATTATTTTCAACTTTGTGTCCAGTCTGTGATTGCTGCTCAGTCTCCTCTTGTAGTGTAAAAGTAGCCATAGACAATAGACGAGTTTGTTTTATGGGCATAATAGATGGGTTTATTTTGTTAATTTCTAGAAAAATGTTTGATGAATTTTGTTAGTCTTTTCAACGTCAATGGAAATGATTTTGTTTTTTCACTTTTGCCCTGGTGATCTGTTGTTAGATTTGTCAATATTTAACTTCGTTTGCTCCTTGCAATAAACCACATATGATCACATAGTCATGGTTTATTGTTTTAACGAGCTACTGGATTCTGTTTGCTAGTATTTTATAGGATTTTTATATTGAGAGCGCTAAATATGAATTGTCTTTAGCTTTTTATTTCAATATCAGTTTGATACTTGTCTTGCTAAAATAAGGTATATACTTCTCTTTTTTTCCCCTGTCCTCTATATTTCTTGCTATTTATTCCTTTAAAGTCTGTTAGTATTCACTTGTGAAACCATCTAGGCTTGTTGTTTCATTGTATGGCATTAAGTTTTTGATAATTTTACCTTTTCTATATGATAACTGGTGGTTCTAATTTTTAGTTTTTCATGGGATCTATTTTGGTAAGTTAGGGATTTTTAGGAAAAAACTGTTTCAGCCTAGACTAATATTAAAACATGTACTTCTCAAAGTGTATACATTTCCAGCCTGAGATTAATTTTATAAGAAAATCTAGGAATAAAATATATAGAAAATCTGTAAAGAAAGAAATTGACAAGTGTTGTTGTTTCTGACAATGGTAGGTTGAGTTGGCATTTTTTCCCTCTATAATATTTTATATTTGATTGCCTTTAATCACTGTTATTTTATTTACTAATTAGTACTAAATGATTCATATATCATTTGTGATAGTAATTATTCAGCAAATATTTATTGAGCATTTACTGTGTGTAAGGCATTGTGCCAGATCTTGGGATTATACCAGTGAACAAGGCAAATAACATTCCTTTATAAAGCTTGCACTGGAGTATGAAAAACAGATAATAACCAAGATACAAACCTGATAAATTATAGACTGCAACAATTGCTGGGAGGGAAATAAAGTAGTAATGTGGTAGAAGGTAACTGATAGGAACCTACATTCGTTAGAATGGTCGCACACCTCTTTGGAATTGACTATTGAACTAAGATACAAAAGATGAGAATTAGTGGTTGAGGAAGAGCTTTACAGACAAAAGGAAAGGCAAGAGCAGAGGTACTGAAACTTGATAATTTAAGTTTTTCAAAATTTGTCTTTTACATTACTGTAATGCCAAATTATAGTTTTATTCTCATATTTTTCTTCATTAGACTTACTCTAGCAGCCTTTTGTGGGGTTTTTGGGCTGAATCTATGAGTATGTACATACTTTAATCTATAGCTATTGCCAAGTTTCTTCATCAAGAACTTGTCTATCTATCTATCTATTTTGAGTAGGAGTCTTACTGTCACCCAGGCTGGAGTGCAGTGGCATGCTGCTCATGGCCACTATAGCCTTAACCTGCTGGGCTCAGACAATCCTTCCACCTCAGCCTTCCAAGTGACTGGAACTACATGTGTGCACTACCACGCCTGGCTGATTTTTTTATTTATTGTAGAGACACAGTCTCACCAAGTTGCTCAGGCTGGTCTCGAACCCCTGAGCTCAGGCAATCCTCTCACCTCGGCCTCCCAAAGTGCTGGGATTACAGGCATGAGCCACCGTGCCCAGTCTCCAAGAACTTATATTAATTACTTTCGTACCAATACTGTATGAATACCTTTCTTCGAAGCTTTACCAGCAGTGTATTAAGAATTTTTTACATGTAGAATTTTTTAAATGTAGTTGAAACATTTTAATGTTATTTTAATTGACATTTTGCTTTTTACAAATGAAGTAAAATGTTTTAAAAAATTTAAGAGCTATTTGAATTTCCTTTTCTGCCAACTAATTATATCCTTAGCCTCTTTCCATTATTTTAATATATGTTAGTCTTTTTTTACTGGTTTGCTTTTACGTTTTAAACTTCTGTTTATTAAGCAAATACCTTTTGTCTCTCTTGTGTTCTGAGTTTTCTCAATTTGAGCATTGTGTCCAAATTTTTGGTGTTTTGACTTTTCCTTAAGTGTTTTCTTTAATGTAAATGTTGAAAATTTCTTAGTCTTTTTGTCCGTGGCTTTAAGATTTTATATCATGCTTAGATTGACACGGATTTTTGTAAGTTTTTCTCCTATGATTCTTGTAGTATTTGTATTTTTAGTGGTGGTGGCTGGGGAACATGTATACGTGCATTTCAAATAATATAAAGCAGAAATTTATTTAAGGGTAAGTAATACGATAAGGATTTAACCTCCCTCCCTCCAGGTGGATACTCCGTTGTCCCAATGCCATTTGACAAGTCCTTTTCCTTCTGTTTTGAAATGCTTCCTATACCTTCTCCTTATTTGCTTGATGTATATCATCAATTTTTTTTTTTTTTGGAGAAAGTAGGATTTATTGAGAGTATAGAAAAGCTCCCAGAGTAGGAGGGAACCTGAGGGGGTTGCCAATATATCATCAATTTGTATGTCCTTGTTCCTGTGAGCTTAGATTCTAGTGGGATTAGACTGACAATAATCAAATAAGAAGATGTTAAATGAAAGTAAGTTTTGTAATTTAAATAAAGCAGAGTGATATGGCAGGCAGTAACTGGAGAGCTGCTTAAACTGAGTAGTCAAGAAAGGCCTCCTTGAGTAGGTGACTTGTAGCCTGATGGGGAATATCAAGAAGGAAGTAGCAGTGTAAAAACATGTTAAGGAGAGAAGATGGCCTCAAGGTGGAAGTGATCTCCGTATGTTGCAAAAGTAGATAGAAGAGTGGGAACATAGAGTGGTGAGAGATGATATTGGATAAGTGGGCCACGCAGAAATCCTGTTTTTCATAGGGATTTGTAGAACAGGTTGAGGAACTTGCATTTTATTTTAACTGTGAAGGAAAACCACTCAAGAAGAGTTTTTTAAAAAAAAATTCAAATTGTCTGGAATGAATTGTTCTTATTTTTCTCATGCAAAAAGAAGAAATAGAAGAGCATAGATAATATGTAAGTCAAGTAAATATGTTCCTGTGTAATTAGGAACCATTTCTATGTACATGCGACTCTAACAAATTTCTTTCCTTTTTAAATAATTGTGCAGTTAAGGAAAGCAGTTTTTTAAAATCATAAAAGTACCAAGAGCTTAGAATTCAAAAACAAAGAATCCACTTGCACTGAATAGAAGTCTTTAAAGACAGTGTTGTGGTATGTTTTAAAATGTTTTTACTTCCTTTAAAATGTTTGTATTAGGGAGCAGACATCCCTGGAAGAGGGAGAAATTCCTTGGTTACAGTACAATGAAGTCAATGAAAGTAGCAGTGATGAGGGAAATGAACCTGCCAATGAATTTGCACAGCCTGAAGCTTTCATGTTGGATGGGAACAATAACTTGGAGGATGACTCCAGTGTGAGTGAAGACTTAGATGTGGACTGGAGGTATGTGGTTAGACATTATTAGCTTGCTTAATTGCTCATTAAGTAGAGTTTGAATATAATTGTAAATTATGAAAATTAAACGTCTCCTAGCCAAGAAGTGTTCTGATTTTCCCATCTGCTAGTCTTCCTCTGCTTCAAAGCTCATTTCAGATGTTACTTCCTACATGGACTCTTTCCTGTTTCCTACAGTTAGTGACCTCCTTCCTTCTTTGACCTTTAGGTCTCTTGAAGCTCACCTGATTTCCAAGTATTTATATGCTTTTTTTGAGTTTTGGATTTCTGACTTAAAATATTGCTTTGTATGATCAGTAGCACTTAGCATTAAACATAAATAAGTTTTTAATGAATAGTTCTTGAAGTACATAAAAGTACTTGAAAAATCAGAATCAGAAGAATAATTTTTCCTTCACTATCTTTCCTTTTCCTTCTCTGAATGTAAAATATGGAAGATATGATTGTACTTTTCCAATCATGTTGAAAACATTAAATTTATGCTGACAATAGTGAGCTTCAAATAAAAGTTGCATGTAAGTGAAGTGGATTGTAGAATTGTTACTTTTTATGATGCAGTATTCATAGTTTAATGTTTTGTTTTGGTTTATAAAATCTTTCAAGTGTGTAGTAGCTCATTGAAGCAGCTAATGATTGAGCTGTAGAAAGAATGTTCTGTTTCCTTTTTGTTACTTTTTCTGGGGGGGGGGGCAGTTTGGTTATAACCCTTGTTTTTTTCTCTGCACAAATATATTTTTAGAAATTTGTCTTGTTTTTCTAGTTAAAAATTCCATTACAGAAAATTTAGAAAAATAAAGATAAAAACTCATTCATATCCCCTAGTTAACTGTGCTGTTTTCTAGAACATACGTTTTTAAGGCCTTCTTTGTGTCTTTGGTTACTCTTTTCTGTTTGTGCTAACTACTTCTTCATACTTCTCCAGATTGTTCCAGATGAGGAACTGAGCATCCTCAAATCCTCCTTACCTTTTCCTATTCTTACTTCCCAGGGGGGAGTAAAATATATGCAGAGCAGACTTTTATCACCATTTTGTAGAAGTAGAAGTGGGATTTCATATCAGCCATGCATTTTATAATTGTAATTTTATCACAGCTATGTATTTTGTAATTCCACCTTAAACATTTTGTTTTCTAAAACCCATTTTTTAGCTTCCCACACATTATGGAAAATCACTATCTTCACCTAGTTCCAGTCTTGCTGATTTTGATACTTCTTTGTTTCCTCCCTCTCTTATGCCTCCCCATTACCTTCTTACTGTACTGCTTGTTAATTTCTGAAGTCTTCTGTGTCCATTATGCAAAATAATCAGAAAGAATCATCTGTTTAGCATCATCTGTGCATGTTGGGAGGCAGTTATGGTTTCGTGTGAGAGATTTTTTTCTGTTGCACATTTTCAAGATTCTGTAAAAATTTTTCATAACTCTTATGAAAAAGCTCCATCTTATGGGTGCACTAAGATTTAATGAATTGTTTACCTTTAGTGTGGTGAGCTGTTTCTGCCACTCCCCCATAAAACTTGTTCTGTGTTTTTGACTATTCCCTTAGTACACATTAATGGAGGTGACATTCCTGAGATATGTGGTGTTTTTCAGGATCTTGATATGTATTTCTAAATAACTTTCAGAAAAGCTTGTTCCACATAAATATTTGAAGGAATGGTGGAAGTCTTTATTGAGTATAATTTTAACTTAAATTTGAAAGCTTGTAGGTTCTAATTCAGTGATGATCTTTCTGACTGGGGCTGATGTATTAAGGTTTTAGAAACCTTACTGATGGTCCCCAAATTTGTAGAGCTTCAAAGTAATTTTTTAAAATATGGAAAGCATTTTAGCATTGATTTTTAACACAGAAATTTTGAAAGTTGCTCTATGTCAGAACCTCATTGTTTGCTTGTGTGGTACTATATTAATTTATATAGCAGTGTCTAAAGGTTGATAATGTGAAAAATGTGGTTTCATTTCATGTTAAGATAGCATGTTATGTTGACAACTAAAAGAAAAACCATGGCAAACAGTGACAATTCTTGTCTCTAAAGTCAACCTTTGGGACATGTCTTTTGTTTTGACATTGCTTAGAAAAAAAGTAAAGCCTTTTGGTTCCTTAATTTAGCTTAAAGGAAAATGGAAAAAGTTCTCTGTCAAGTTTGTTTTGCTTACTTGTTTCAATTGGAGTTGCAGAAGTGTAGCACAATATTCAAGAGTAACTCATAGTTTGGTGTGGTAGAACTAACACAGAGAAATGATGGTTTTCAGATTTAGACATATCCCAACTCTACCAATTATTTATGCTTTGATAATTCCTTAACCTTTTTAGTCTGATAAAACTGTGAGAAATTAATTCTGTGCAGATATAACTATGCTTAATAAGAGAATCTTTTAAACTTTTGTAATAATTCCAGATTTATAGAAAAGCAGCAAAAATAGTACAAAGTATTCCCGTATATCCTTAACTAAGATTCCCCAAATGTTAACATTTAAAAATCACATCTGTGTTATCATTTTCTCTTTCCTTTTTCTCTATATTTATGGTAAAGTTTTGGGGTTTTTTTCCTGGCCTATTTATGAATAAAAGTTGCAGGCATGATGTTCCTTTACCTGTAAATGTTCTAAAATGTGTTTTCTAAAACCTAGAATATTTTCTTATTTAACAAAGTAAAATGGTCATAGTCAGAAAATTAACACAGATACAATTTTATCTAATCTATATACCTTATTCATTGTTCCACCAGTGCCTTCAGAGAAACTTTTTTCTGGTCTAACTAGGACCTTTCATTGCATTTAGCTAGCATGTTTCTTTAATGTCTTTTAATCTAGGCATTTCCTCAGTCTTTGTTTTTCATAACTCTGATGTTTTTGAAAAATACAAACCATTTATTTGGTAGAATGTTCCTTAGGTTATATTTGTCTGATGTCATGAGATTTGAGTTACAAACTTTCAGCAGAAAAACCCTAGAAGTAATGTTTTGTTCTTCTCCATATACATCAGAAAATACACTGTGTCAAATTATCCTGTTACTGGTGATGTAAATTCTGATTATTTGGTTATAATGTTATCTTTCACATTTCCTTACGGTTGTGATTTTTCCCTTTATATTGCTGACCTTTAAACAGCATAGGGATTGGGACACTGACCCGTGCAGTAAAAAAACTGCATATAACTTTTAACTATCAAAAAACTTAACTAATAAACCTACTGTTGACCAGAAGCCTACCAGTAACATAAACAGTTGATTAACACGTGTGAGCTGCATGTATTATGTACTGTTTTCTTACAATAAAGCAAGCTAGAGAAAATGTTATTAAGAAAATTATGAGGAAGAAAATATATATTTACTATTCAGCAACATTAAGTTTGAAGCAGATCATCATAAAATTCTTCATCCTCATCATCTTCACAGTGAGAGGGCGAGGAGAAGGAGGAGAAAAAGGAGAGGTTGGTCTTGCTGTCCTCAGGGATGGCAAAGACAGAAGAAAATCCAGTTAAAGACCCTGTTGTTCAGGTGTCAACTGTAATCAATAGGCATCTAGTGAGAAGATAACTTTGAGACTAAATAACCTGTTTCTTCTGTCACATTTTCATCCACTAGTTTTAACATCCAAGTGATTCTTGCCTGAAAAAATTACTATCATGGTGATTGCCAGTGCATGATATTAGAGTTTTTAATGTTAACTGATTATTCTACAGTGACCAAGTTATAGCCAGATAGTATGCTTTAGGTGTCTGAGTTTGCTTAGCCTGAGAAGAAAATAATTACTGGGAGATAATTTGAACGGGTTTTTTGCAAAGAGAAAGAAGACACCGTTTATGTTGCTTCAACAGGCAGAACTCTAGCAACAGGGTTAAAGTTATAAGTAAGAATACTTATTTCATATAAGTTTTAAACTTTTAGTAGAGCTATCCCACACTGGTACATACCAGCTAAGAAAGCATGGAGGGCAGATTTCTTCTGTCTCTGGAATGTCTGCTATGGTGACATCTCTATGCTGGGCACCATTGTACATCTACTGATTTAATTGTTTTATAGATGAAGAAAGAGTCTTAGTTAAGTATTTTCCAATTATTTAACTCTGATTCAGTTAAGTCCCTATCTGACAACACCAGGGCTCTTCCTCTGTGCACTACATCTCACTTGTAGATGGAGTTCCAGTATTGCAAGATTGGGTGGATTCAGTAATTCTTAGTATTAATCCTAATTCTAAAATCTGTGATTGTGTGAGCATGTCTGTTTCTTGTACCATGTGATGTTTGCTGATTTCCAAATACTATTGAGCTATAATATATTCTTTGTAAGAGCTACTTCTGTGTTTCTTGGTGATAAATTTGTAATGTGAATGATAGCACATGGGTTGACATCAGAACTATTTTTGAGCTAACTTGTGTAACTATGAATGTTTCTGACTATGATAGTCAAATTCTGATAGGATTTGGAAGTCAACAGAAGTTTGTCTTTAGACAAAATAAACTCAGGTTTGGAGCTCTTGGATTTATGAGGTGGTAGGAGTACATTACTCAGAGTGCCCCACAAACAACTAGAAATGTAGGTGAAAAGGTGCAGGGAACATTTGGGAGTTAGGTAGAGATTAGGAATTACCTGCAGAGAGGATGATTGAAGAAATGAGCTTGATTGTAATTTTTAGTGGAGCAACATTCGAGAGAAGAGGACTGAAGACATAATTATAGTTTTCAAGTTTTGAAATACTTAGTATTTCTAAGACTAGAGGAAAATGAGGAATCTGTATGTTTAGGGGTCAAGGAAGGAGAGTAGGACTAGACTGAGACATTTTTCTTCAAGGAGCTTACAGTTCTTTAGAAAAAATAAGAATAAAAATGAGCAGTTGGAAGCTAGGTATTTTTAAGCTGTATAGTAATGGTGGTGACCTATTAAATAGAAGAGGAAGAGAGAGATTAATGAGAAAATCTTGAGGAAACAAAACTCAAAGTAATTAAGCAATACAAGGTATTAGAGAAGAAAAAGGGGCTTTAAATAATAATGGAATTAAAATGTAGTTATTTTCTTTATTGTATTTTTCACCTACACTAAGATTGGAAACTAAAATAATCAGAAGAGAACTGTATAAGAAAGAATTAGGTGGGGAAAAGAATTGGACAAGGGGTACAGGTTGAGTATCCCTGATCTAAAGTGCTAGGAACTGGAGAATTTGGGACTTGGAATTATTTGGGATTTTGAAATATTTAAATTATACTTCTAGTTGTGCATCTCAGATTCAAAAATTCAAAATCTACAATGCTCTACAATCCAGAACTTTTTGAACATCAACATGACACTTAAAGGAAATGTTTATTAGAGCATTTCAGATGTCAGATTTTTGAATTTGGGATGCTCAACCCATACCCTTAAGCAGTCTCTAGAGTTAGAACTAGAAACACAAAAGAGAATTTTTCTATAAACTTTCTGTAATGTGTGTGACTGACTAATGGGTGAAGTAGTGGTTTCTTTACTTATGTCTAGCGCTTAACTTTTGTTAGGTTCTTCCTGCCTCTAACCCCACAAGGTTGATATTACTATGTTTTAAGGTTTTCTGTTCACAGTATGTTTATTAGTTTGCTAACATGCTAATATAATTATGTCCTCAGCATAAGATTTCCCAAATCATGATTGTGAGTTTTGTTTTGTTTTTTAGCCTATTTGATGGCTTTGCAGATGGACTAGGAGTTGCCGAAGCTATTTCTTATGTGGATCCTCAGTTCCTCACCTACATGGCACTAGAAGAACGCTTAGCCCAAGCTATGGAGGTATGTTAGTAACTCTGATGTTCATATATAAGTTGATTGGGATACAAATGATAAAATTAAGGTTTTTTTTAACTACTCTTAAGAAAAGGTGAATTATTTTCTCATCAGTTTAGTAAGTTATTGAAGAATGATTGTATATGTATATAAATTACACTTGATAACTGCCAATTTGCCTCAAATTGCAATATTTCTCAATTTTTACTACAGAATAGAAATACACTTTTTTTCTCTATTGAATTACACAGGTATGGAGTGAATATTTTATACATGTGTATACTCACAAGTATATTTGTGACATGAAATTGAAGCTCTCAAATGATCTTTACAACTCATTTTTCTTCTTTTGTTCTCATGGCCTCAGATACTATCTGGTTGCCTAATGCAGTTAGGAAAGTTGCTTCCCTTCAACCCCACACACATATACATACTTCAGTTTGGCACATTTGCTGCTCAAGTATCTCTTGCCTTCTTTTTATTATTTGACTAAAACAGAAAAACTTGCTCATAATTTATTTGCCTAAGGTCAGAACCCAAGTATTTTTATGTTTAGAAACTACCACTACACTAATGGGTTTCATTATAAGAAGTCTTTTTTAAGTCATTATTTTCAAAGTGATTTTTAAGATATACAAACAGTAATAACTGGTGAATGAGCCAAAGGTGAGAGAACAAAAATTAGCAAGAGAGAACTTTGAAGAGCATTGTAATACATTTTATCTTGAAATTTTTTGAGATTAGAATGTCGATTAACTGAGACAGGATTTCATTCCATCTCCTGGGAAGTAGTGGCACAGTCATAGCTCACTGTAGTTTCAGACTCCTGGGCTCAAGTGATTTCACTGCCTCAACATCCTGAGTAGTTAGGACTGCAGGGGAGTGCCACCATGTCTGGCTAAATTTTTTTTTTAAACTTTTCATAGAGATGGGATTTCACTATGTTGCCCAGGCTGGTCTTAAACTCCTGACCTCAAGTGATCCCCTTTGCCTTGGCCTCCCAGAGCGCTGGGATTACCAATGTGAGCCACCATGCCTGGCCTGAATGTCCAGTTTAGATTGATAAAATAGAAGATAAACACCTGTTTATCTACACACACACACACACACACACACACACACACACACACACACACACACACACACACGCTAGCTCTGCTTTGACAACACTTTTTTTATACATATAATCTTCGATGGAGATCATTGCTCTCCATTATGCTTTATGGTGTATGTTTTTCTCAAAGTGACCATGGCAGAAATATTATATACTAGGAAAAAAAGTCAGAAAGAACATCATGAGACAGGATGCACTTAGGATTTTTGTCAGATTATTTAACTGCCTTGCCAAATTCTGAAACATATGAAATAATGATGCAGCATTATTACTTGCAACAGAAACATAATATAGAAAGAATAAGAGTCACTAACTTTTTTATGCTAGTGGTTTATGATTTCCTACAATACAAATACTTTAAAAAAGAAATGCTGAAATGAATGGTTCCCTCTCCAATGTGGGTGAGGTGGATCCACCCTTTCTCTCCGATCTACTTTCTGAATAAACTATCTATTCTAATCTAAAAAAGAAAAGAAATGTTGAGAATAAAATGTTTTATTACTTATTACTAGTGGGAAATGTGACATTTGATTTGCATTTTGTAGAGCCATAGGGATCGGTCTTGAGAGGTCAGTAAAGGCAGTAGTACAGTAAACAAAGACAAAAGGCAAACAAAACCAGTTCCATACTTTGTTGGCTTCTGCCAATAGGGAACCCAGTGGCACTACCACTTTTTAAGTTACTCTTACTCATGCATTCTTCTGCCTCTGCTTAATGGCTGTAAGCATCTCCTTTCTCCACAGCTTACCAGCTTCCTCACATTTTAGTGCTCTGTTTTATTTTATTTGAATTTGATTGAAACATTTTACCCCTAGAGAATCGATATAGTTAAGTCTTCCTAGCACTCTGCAGAAAAATGTTTTTCATGTGTAGTATGCATTTATTTAATCATTTTTATAATGAAACTGAAATAATTCAAAATTTTATTGTTTCTCTTATATTTAACACTAACATTATTGAAATGAAACAAAACCAAAACACATTGCATGCTTTTATTTTGCTTCTCAAGTAGCACTATTTCTTTGTTGAAGTTGTTACTTTTGTTTCTGTTATTTTTCCAATACTAGATTGATCTTTCTTTTTAGGTAGTGGCTTTTGGTGAAAATATTGACAATATACATTTGTCTCATAAATATACTTGTGCCTCAAATTTGAATGAGGATGGGGTAAAGTGGCAAACATCTTTAACTTTTTGAAACAGTGATATTGACGATTTCTACTTTTCAAAATAAATTTTGTAAAAAACAGGTAATTGCATATGTTAATGTTGACATTCAAAATTTTTTTTAGCGTAAATCCAAGTAATAATTATTCTTTACCATACTTTTTTTGAAGACAAATATGTTTAAAATTTTTAATGTAAAAAATTGGTTAAATGCATTAAAATTAATAGTATACTAGTTGATTAAAATAAATTGTTACAAATTTGGTAAGTAAACATAAAATTTTACTGGAAATGCATATCTTAATGAGATGATGGAGGCTTTTTCCCTTCTTAGTTACTTTGTGAGTGAATGTTATTTGTTACTAGAATGAAACTCATTTCAGCATAAATTTTATTTCTGTTTTTCATCTTATGAATGTAAGGTTAAGAAACTTGGTTCACATAAATTAATGGAGATGTAAGGAGTTTATCATAGCATTCATTGTCAATCAATTCTTTAGAGATAATTGCCAAAAATCACATAAATTAATTAGTTATTTAGATTCTCCTTCAGTTTTTGAAAGCAAAGAATTGGAAGTGACCTAAAAAGATTTGTTATTCAGTTATTGGAGTTCAGTTGCACCCTAGTACTTCAGATAGCCCCTCTGAATGGGTAAGAAATATGCTTTTACTTATAAAGTGGGGGGGGGTATATGAAAACAGAGAAGCAGCATGACACTTTTAACTGCAGGTACATTTTTATGCAGATAAGCTTGAGGAAAGGTTACTTAAGAAAGGTAATTTAAATTGAGTCTCTAAGACTGTCTACACCCCTGCATATCTTGGAAAGTCTTTACATGGTCACAACAGCATCTCCTATACACTCAGGTGTAGGTACTAGAGAAGCAATAACAATGTGGAGGTTAAGAGCATAGGCTTTTGTGTTAGATGGGCTGTGTGACCTTGGACAATTCACTTAATCTAAACTTAAGGTTCCTCATTTACAAAAGATAAATAATAAAATGTACATCATGGGCTATTATGAGATTGTGATAGAACCTTTAGCAAAATATCTGGTGTAGTGGTAAAAGCTTCTCAGTAAATGGTGCATCTGGATTCAATGATGATCAGTCAAAATCATTGTTGGTATCTTCATTCTTTAAAAACTAAATTATATTTTATTTTTTAGAAATGAAATTTTATGCTGATGAAGGATTATACTCCTTTAAACCTAGATATATTACAGTTTGGGCTATTCAGACTATTTAGTTGTCTGTCTACCACTTGGGCCAACTTTTGAAAATATATTGTATTGTCTAAAGATGTAGATAGATTTTTGTATTTTTATAGGTTTTCATAGTAGTGGCTTATTCACCCTAGAATAAGCAGATAAAATGGTCTCTTGGTCTTGTTGCTTATAAGTAATCCCAGATCATCTTAAATATGTGAGAGTACCAATACATTTTTTTTTATATATGAAATTCCAGGTGTTAGCACTAGCAGTGCACAGATAATTATCAGAAAATATAATGAACCCATAGAGACAAACACATATCAAAGCATAGTTAACCCAGAAAAACCTCCCCAAATAGAAGTTACTATAAACAATATCCCTTTTTTCTGTTTATGCATAGCACAGATGAGTTCTCATAAGCAGGTTCTGCCTTGAGTAGTACATAGGGAATTTAAGGAACGTCATAATTATAGTTATGTGAAAAAGAAAGCGAGAGATAACAGGATCCTATCTTCTATTTCCTCTCTCCAAATGGGAATGTTTAATATAAAGCATTTTTAACTATAACAAAGAAGTTGAGTAACAAGGTGTTGGCCAGTAGGAAATATAGGAAAAGTATATATAAGGAGGAGCCACCACCTGTCGGGCAAAACTAGAACACCTAAGGAAGAATCCCCAGTCCACCACAGGACTGAGATCCAGACCTTGATGGAAATAGCACAGCTGTGGCTCGTTGCATGGCAGAAAAGTCACTGGTGTTTGCTGGCAGAACTTGCTGGAAATCACCCTCTAGGGTGCTGGGGAAAGCTATTCATAGGAAGGTGGCTAACTGGAAGCACTTTGCTGTGGAACTGGGGGAAGCTGCTGGCTTCTGGGTACATTGCAGGCGCTGGCTGCTGGAAGAAGCCTTGTATATGGCAAGAGCCTTGCACTAGAGCAAGCCACTGAGGTCACAGAAGCCTGTCAAGCAAACACACTGGGATCAGAAGCAAAGCTCTTTTCCTCCAGCAGTGTCTCTTCAGTATGCCCTGTGACCAAAACTTAGCATCATGCCAGCTGTTAAAAGGGAAAATATTTAAATAGTCCAGATTTTTACAGACAAAAAAGTGCATTTTAATTTGAGGAGCAATAATTACATTACTGAAATAGTCCATCTCATTGACAACTTGACTTCCTTATACACCTTTTAAAATTTCCATCCAAGAATACAACTATATTTCTACCTGACGAGATAACAGCTGATGTTACAAAAGAGGTTTTCACCCTCTCCCCAGAGTAAGCAGTTACATAGTACCAAAAGTCATTGTATCTACCACCAGCTATACTAATTACTCCACGAAGTTAGTCACAGTCACACTGAATGTTCTTTTACATAAAGACTTAATTGCAAATTTAACTTCCAACACCTGTCATATTATGGGAAGGAGAATGGTTAACATGTACAAGTCAGCACATACATAAAACAAGCAAATAGAAAGTATGCAATGCTAGTCCTTGTTTCTGTATTTGGTCATGAGACTGTAATTGAACACCATGACCCATTCCGTATTTTCCTTGCCCTCAGCCAGGACCTCAGCTGGTTAGGATTCTTTACTGGGTAGCGTGACTCAAACCTACATTACTGTTTCTATCCTCAATTTCTTTTTTTGGTTACTGTCATTTTCTAGTAACTTTACTGTTGGGTGTGGAAGTATAAGAGATACACACTCCTGGTGAGATCATCACACAGTTTTCAAGCAGAGGAAGCCTAGTCTGTGGAGGGCAGACTGCTTCTACTGGTAAAAGCAGGATTAGAATAACTTGTTGAGTTGAATCTGAGTTCAACCAGATACCCCATTCCAAGTTTCAGAATCCTGTTCTTTAACTAATCAATGATAAAATGTTTGGGAAACTTGATGAAACTGAGAATTTAACTCTCATTTTATTTTTTTTTTTGTTTTGTTTTTTATTTTTTACTTTTTTTCTGAGTTGGAGTCTCACTCTGTCGCCCAGACTGGAGTGCAGTGGCCGCTCCTGGTCACCGCAGCCTCGACCTGCTGGGCTCCAGCAATCCTTCCGCCTCAGCCTTCCAAGTAGCTGGAACTACAGGCGCGTGCTACCACGCCCGGCTAATTTTTTGATTTGATGTAGAGATGAGGTCTCACCAAGTTGCCCGGGTGGGTCTCGAACCCGCTGGCCCAGGCAGTCCACTCACCTCAGCCTCCCAAGGTGTGGTATTACAGGCTGAGCCACTGAGCCCGGCTTTAACTCTCATTTTAATTTTAGCAATCCACACAAGTTTATGCTTGATTTTTTTTTTTTTTTTTAAGAAGAGCTTCTTTTAGGCCTTTTATGGATGCTTTCTGACTTTCACTCTGTTGTAACAGTTAATAGACCTGAATTTGTAATTTTCTTTATAAGTATACAAGGACACTTGGAATACTCCATCTCACATCACAGTTTTTATAGTCAGATCATCACTACGCTAAGGTCAAGTATGACAGCTCTCTGGGCTCCCAAGACACATGCTTCAGTTGGTCCTTCATCACAGTCAACCTCAGTGATAGCATGATTAATTGGGATGCCACTATAGGCTGGTTGTCCTGTTCTCATTGGCAGGGAGCTCAGCAGTGAGCTCAAGCCCAGAGGCCAACTGAACCGATATCAAAATCCTATTCTTGCACAGTGCTGGGTCCTGGGACCACTCCTAATACCAATTTTTTTTTTTTTAATCAGTCTGGGCTCAGTCACAAAAGAGACAAATACAATAATTTGAACAGGGAAAGTTAATGTAATTATAAACTACAACATTACAACATTAAGGAATTGGCTATTAGGAAGTAAAGTGAACTGTAAAAATGCAGGATTAGCAGGCTGCAGTAGGGCACTGTATTTTCCCACCCCTAGGGCTGAGATCCAGACCTTATTGGAGGGGACAGCAGTGGCTCATAGAGAAGTTTAAGACACTATGCTGGCAGAAGATTAAGACACTATGCTGGCAGAACTTGTGGAAATCTGCCCTCTACAACTTGGCAAAAATCTGCCCTCTGAGACAGAGAAACTTAATGGAGATGACTAACTGAAAGCACTCTGCCACCCAACAGAAGCTGCTGGCCACTTGTCCTACAGCTGCCAGTCACTGGAAAAACTGGAAGAGCCACCCATACTGGAGGAGCCTGGCGCTGGAGAAGCCAGTTATGCACAGAGAAGCCCCAACACAGTGAGGGGACCCAAGGAACCTTGAACCAGAGTCCTTTCCTTCTGCAATGTCTCTCCAGCGCCCTCTGCTGACAAAGCTTAAAACCATGTCAGCTGACAAAGGAAGAATATTTAAAAGGCCTAAATTTGGGTGCATTCTGCTCTGTTTTCACAGAGCAGAAATGAAAGGTGGATTTGGAGCTAAGAGGCAGTAATTCAACTACTGGCACACAGTTTCCATTTCTGCAAATTCAGAGTCAGAATTAGTGTTCAATATTATTAACTGTGTTTCTTAACTCTTGGTGACCCTTTTTGCTGATTCCTTTTTTAGTTCTGATTTTGCTTTGGGCTTGGCCTAAAGCCAAATAGTAATTCTCTATTGTTAGTCACCTTAAATGCTTGTTGGAAATATCTATGGTAGAACCTTAGGCATATGTAAAATAACATAAAATTTATTATTGTATCCATTTTTTAAATGTACAGTTCAGTGTCATTACGTACATTCATGTTGTTACAAACTGTAACTCTCCATTTTATATTCTCCTCAGCCCCTGGCAACCACTATTCTACTTTCTGTCTCTTTTAATCTGACTACTTTAGTACCTCTTATAAGAATCATACAGTATTTATCCTTCTGCGACTGGCTTATTTCAGTTCATTCATGGTGTAGCATGTGTTAAAATTTCCTTCCTTTTCAAGACTGAACAATATTCCATTGTATCTGTATACCACATTTTGTTTATTCATTCATCCATCCATAAACACTTGGTTTGCTCCCACTTTTTGGCTCTTATGAAGAATGCTGCAATGAACATGGGTATACAAATCTGTGTGAGCCCCTGTTTTCAGTTCTTTTGGGTGCATACCCAGAAGTGGAATTGCTGGATTACGTGATACTGCAGTTTTTAATTCTGAGCAATTGTCATATTGTTTTCCAGAGCAGTTATACTATTTTTCATTCCTTCTAGGAGGGGAGGCCCAGTTTTAATGGTTGTCAGATTTGTTTCAACTTTTTCATCCCCACAAAGAAATATTCAGCTAGATTAATGCTAAGGTCTTTTGTAGCTTTGTGATCTTATGATACTATAGTTGGGATATAACAACTAACAAATAACTATTAAATTATATAATACGAATTACTTAGGTACAATAGCAGTTCAGAAGGAAGATACTAGTACAGTCTGGGATCACTGACATAGGCTTCATGGAAGAGACAGAGACAGGATTACCCCCATCCTTGAGGGATTTATAGAATTTAAAGGATGGACAGAAAGCACTAGGCAGAGGAAACAGCCTCTGTGCTGAACTAAGAGCATGTATTTGTATGGTTTGCAGGCAAAAAGACAAAAGTTCTTCCTACCATTCTAGTCTGATTGGAGGCAGAAAAGATGAGAGTGACTCATACTAGATGATCATTTGATCTGCTGTTCTTTTGATTCTTGGTAGAACAGTAACTTTACACAGACATTTAAGCCCCTAAATGAAGTTCACAACCCAGGTAACCTGGCAGTACTTACAGCTGGCAATGTGGGTGTGTTGGTTGTGCCGGTAGTAGATACAGTCATTCAGGAGTGCATTGTTTACTTCTATACTTTGAGCATCTAGTAACCTCGGCCACGTTTTATCTTTCAGAAAGTGAACCTTTCTGAAGTGTTTACTTTACTTCATGTTATTGATCCCACACAGGTACTCATAGTTGGAAGAGATAGCCACTTCTCTAAAATTATAACTATGACTGGAAAGTAGGTAATTACTGAGACAAGATAGATTTGTGTTTTAATTGTGGAAAGTTGGGGTGTGTGTGTCTGTGTGTTTGATGTTTTGGTTTGGTGTGGTGGGGGTGGTTCCTTTTGGAAAGGGCAAAGAAGCAAGGGACTAAAGCAAAAGAAACTAAAGAGAAGAGAATAATGAATAATGGTAATATAACTTTGGAAGATACCATAAAAAATAGTTTTCTATTACTGTCTTAAAAGTTCTCCCTTACAAAGAACCCTAACTTTTGTTTTTCAGACTGCCCTGGCACATTTAGAGTCTCTTGCAGTAGATGTTGAGGTGGCCAATCCACCAGCCAGTAAGGAAAGCATTGATGGTCTTCCAGAGACCCTTGTTCTTGAGGATCACACTGGTAAGAGCAACATTGACCTCAGATGTTGGAGGACACATTGCTTATTTAAGTATATTATAAATGTACGTAGAAGATGAAATACTTAACTATTAGAAACTTTCTTTTGATTTTCTGTGGTAACCAGATGCTGGCAAACATTCATCTAGTATAGGAATATTTTTAATTTATCAAGCAATAGGCTGAGACAGATGTCTCCATGTCAACTTTCCTAAAAAAGCAACATTTATTAAATTCTGAATTGTCATGTATTAGGCAGAGCATGCTATGATCAAAGTCTGGTTCTTTTGTCTTTCATAGGTATTTGTGAGTATAATATGTTGATTCTCAGTTTTATTAAAATTGAACCATATGTGATTGATAGATCGAAATTATTTGTTGTTTTCAGCTATTGGTCAGGAACAGTGCTGTCCAATCTGTTGCAGTGAATATATTAAGGATGATATAGCCACAGAGTTGCCCTGTCACCATTTCTTTCACAAACCTTGTGTCTCAATTTGGCTACAGAAGGTAAGTTTTAGAATTACTTTTTACTCTAGCTCTCTGATGCAGTGGGGGAAAAAAATAGTCACTTTAAAAAAAAATTAATACTTTAATAGTTTCTCCCACAAGTTAATAATGGTAATGTCTTTTAAGCCTATTTTATTTAGCTACTTATTTGTAGTACTTTTTAATTCATTGTTAAAAACTGATTGCAAGGCCAGGCTGGGTGGCTCAGCCTATAATCCCATGCTTTGGGAGGTCGAGGTGAGTGGATTGCCTGAGCCCACGGGTTCGAGACCCGCCTGGGCAACTTGGCGAGACCTTATCTCTACAATAAAAATCAAAACATTAGCCGGGCGTTGTAGCGCGCGCCTGTAGTTCCAGCTACTTGGAAGGCTGAGGCGGAAGGATTGCCGGAGCCCAGCAGGTCTAGGCTGCGGTGGCCAGGAGCGGCCACTGCACTCCAGTCTGGGTGACAGAGTGAGACTCCAACTCAAAAAAAAACCAAAAAACAAAAAAATGATTGCCTTAAATGATAATAGGTGAGGAATAATAGGGAACTATTTTACTTTATTAACATTGTCTAAAAAAGTAGACAACAATAACTAACGTTTTTGATTATTTAGGAAGTGATAAATATCTGAAAATCATTTTAGAATGAAACCATTTAGAACTGTAATTATAACCCTGAAATTTGTTCATCTCAAAAGTATCTCAAGGAAAGAAGCCTTTGGCACTGCTCAAAGTACTGTATACAGTATACAGGTATTATGCTGATACAAGTTGGTATTTCTGAAAATGTGTATGAGATACTTAACCTTACCAAGAAGCTTCTATTCCAGTTTTTATATATTGCCTTTAAATATTTGCCCAATAAAATTAAAGTATATGTGAATTACTTAAATAAAAGAAAGAGCTTTACTTATTTACCAGCCGGCTCAGTAGGAATTCCCAAATCACTTTCCCAGCTTATCTACTCATGGATCCAGCTTCTTCTCTTTCCTATAACCACTTCCTTTCTTTTTTCCTCCCCCACCCACTTTCTTCCTCACTTCTCTTCCCTTTTCCTTTCTTTGCTATTCTTCTCCTTCTACTGTCACTTCATCCTTATCAGAACTCTATTTAAAATTTCTAAGGTCAAGTGTAGAAATGTTCACTGTTCCTTTATCAAATCAATTCATCTTTTAGTTGTTGATGTTAGCTTCTAGTTTATGTCTGTGTGTATATTCAGTTTGTTTTACAGTTTTGTTTTCTACTTTTCTAAAACGTTACTTGCCTGTTTGTATTTTTTAAGAAGCAGTGTTTTGTGTGTGTGATATGGGTGAGGTGCTACTGGATCTTTCCTATTTAATGATGTCTCATTTCATTCTCAAAATAAGTCTAGGATATATTGGTATCTTTATTCCTGTTTTCCAGTGACTGTTACTTGTCCAAATTACACAGCTAGTATGTGTAGTTGACCAAGACCACACTCATATATTTGACTCTCAAGTGTTGCTGTTTAGGGCCTAGTCAGTATGGCAGGTACACAGTCAATGTTTGCTGAATTGAATCCTTAAATTCTAAACATTATATATGTTGTATAGCCTTGAATGATACTTGACATTGCTATAGCCTAAGGTAACGAGCTCTTCAGTCTCTTTCCTGACATAAAACAACTTCATGTAAAGCCTTTTTTGGTTTTTTTTTTGTCTGGTGAGAAAGTTCCCAACATACAATTCTTTGTCACCTTCAACAGCATGATCCCTTCTATTAGGGATATCTCCTTGGAAAAAATACAAGATTTACAAGAGTACAATGTGTCATCAAATGACATATCTCAGTAATCTTCCATTGGTCCTAAAATGTTGTACTCCTAGTATAGCTATTTCCGTTCCTACTTTCCCTCTCAGATCTGTGGTTGGTTGATTTGTCATTTATAAGGCCCCCAGTGCTCCATCTCTTTTTTTAGAAACAAATTGCATGGTTTATAAAGAATATCTGAGGTCCATCTGCTTTGACAGTTGAGGCTGTAGTGTATGTGAGAAGGATTCTGGAGGAAATGATTTGGTGTGAATTAAGTAGGGTCTGTGGTTTCTCTAATATGTGCATAGTAGATTAGGTAATAATAATGCAATTCAGGTTATTGTTAAGCTAAACTCTGACTTCTGTGAGGACATCCACCATAATTCTTTGCTCATACTCTGCCATAGCATCAGTGTTGAGCATGGAGGCTCCTAATTAAAACTCACTAAATAAAAGATGAATGACCTTAAGGGTACAAACATGATTTAGAGACATTGTTTACCCTCAAAAAAATTAGAGTCTGATTGCAGTGCAGAAGAAATAGCATTAAAATAGTATCTTTCTGTATTGTGTGGGTTTGAAGTTAATTTGGTTTTTGGTTCTCAGCTACTTGATTTACTGTTAAGATAATGATACTGTTTTTTCTTTATTAAGTTACTTGTGTGGCAGTTTCTGGTGGGTCTTACTTGTTTTTTCCTTCCAGTCGGGAACATGCCCTGTGTGCCGCCGTCATTTCCCACCTGCAGTTATTGAAACCTCTGCAGCCACTTCCTCCGAGCCTGATCCTGATGCCCCACCTTCAAATGACAGTACTGCAGAAGCATCCTAAACCTTAACAACTGAAAAGAGATCAGTCTATCAGAGTAAATCTGCAAATTCCTTCTAAATCTGATGTGCAAATAATTATATATAAATATATTTAAAAGTGCTATATATAGTATATGCCATAGTTTAGAAAGAGAATATTGACCTTTCTAAACTAAATTTAGGTTTGCAGAAAGTACTAAACATTTTCAAGCTGAATGTTGAAGCAGTGCATCCATTTTCTTTAGTTGAATTTGTTTGTATTAATTGTAAAGTCAAGCTTATCCAGCTAACTCTCTCCAGAACAAATAATCATCTATGTGGCACACATTATTGGCTGCGTCTAAAATACTACCACTAAGTGATTATAATTAGGTTCTCCTATTTGCATCAGATGTGAAGACAAATGTGAACAGTAGTAAAATTTGGTTTAATTGGAAATAAAACAAATTCTAAAGCATACTTTTTCACTGGTCCCTTTGCCTTTGCTCCTTCATAACCTCCTGGCTTATAATACTGAGATGTTTTCCAGAAAGGTGTCTACTTTTCCATCTCTTTAAAATTAGGGCTTTCCAGAATGCCAGTTGGGGGCTAAAATTTTGGCTAGAACATCACAAAATTTTAAAATCTTAGATGTAACCCCCCCTCCCCTGAAGTGGTTAGGGAGTAAAATAAATTAGTTAATAAAACAGTGGATGTGCTTAACATAAGGTTAATGCAGTATATGAAGAATCCAGTGTGCTCAGTGTTTGATACAATGAGATAAATTAGATGGCCTTATGAAACCCTTTCTAACCTCTTACCCAGTCTGTTTCTCCTTGTTTAAAATTATACTGGAAGGTCCAAAACACTCTTGGTGCATCTGTTTGATAAGTAGTAGATATAGTAAGTTTAAGGTTATTTTGGTTCTGCAGTATTTTGGAAGATCTGAAAACTTGCACAGGGTCATCTTTGTAATTATGTAACCCAAACTAAGATGCACAGCTTCTTCTTTAGGTAATCACATACAGTAGACAAATATGTGCAGACATGGGCGTAATGGTTCACTTACAAATGTGACTTGATGTCAACACTAGAGAATGAGGGCTGTTAGAATGTCACATTTGAGCGAGTAAAATAGTAGAGCACATAGTGTACATCCATCCAACTGGTCCATTGAAATATAGTTTGGACACATAAAAGGAATATTTATATGGCTTCCCAAATGCAGAATTACATCTTATTTGTGTAATTTCTCTGAGTATTTATATTTTGTCTCTTTTTTCCATTCTTAAAAAATAAATGAATTTTCACTGTTGGCACATTTGAAGCTTAAATATAAGGAACATAACACTTGCATTCTAATTTTTGCATATATTGTAAATGTGTCTGGTATTTACAGCAAAATACTGTGTATCCTTTTATGGGTAAAACAAAAGTGAACATTGCATGCACGTAATGTGGTGAATTTGTAATTTAGGGATTCTTTGGGGCTTCTGTGGCTTGGGAAATGCTTACATTCAGGCCTTAATGTTAATGTTGCATTAGCTAGCATGTTTTCCTTCTGATGTATATAGTCACTGTTGTATAAACTAATCTTTGCTTGTTTTCTACTCTGTGATCTTTCTATATCATATTTCATTGATAATCAGTTAGTGTCAAGGAGTCAAATCAGATTAAAATGAATTTTCATGTGTATATGGTGGAAATCTGTGGCTAGTATGATTTTTTGTTTGTTCGTTTTCTTTCAAGTATGTTGATCACTTGTGACACTTACTGATTAAACTTACATTGCTAAAGATGTTTCTATAATAAGCCACACATTATATTTAGGCGGTATTAAGGGACCTTGGTTTTCTTCTAGATAGCAGCTGTTCCAAAGAAAATATTTCTTCTTTGCCTATTTAGATTGAGCTATTATCTGCCAGTTGTTAAGAGGTTTTGGTTCCAAACTCAACCAGCAATGTTGAGAGCTGAACTTAAGATAGCTGTTGTACTTTTTGCTTTCCATCTGTTACTGTCCTTCATTCTTGGCTCCCTACTATCTATAAACAGCTGCTATGAAGGAGAAAAGTTGAATAAGAGTTGGCTTCAATGAAAAAAAGAATATTAAAGTTTGGATTTTTGTCATAACAAGCTGGTATAAACTGAAGCCGACAAGTTTGACACCAAAATACTATTTGAACATATCTTGGGTCCTTTTGAAAAAGTCAAGAATAAATAAAAGTAAATTAGAAATAAGTATGAATATTGATAAAATATCCTTTATCTTATTTCTCTATTTTATGTTGTGACTACCTAATAGTTTTATTTTTTTAAATATTTTCTTATTTCTTTTAATATGAATGCTGATATTTAAAGGTAGATCTATGTGGTTTTCTTTTGTTTCTTGTATATCTCTAAACTAACTAACTCTTAAGATTATTTGTGATCTGATTTTATATATAAGCTGTTAGATATATGTGAACTGTTAAAAATGGAATGCAAGTCTTTCCAAAGTCCAGGTCTAAATGTAATGATTGGTTTATTGTTCTATAACCCCAGCCCATCATTTTCCGTGTAAATCATAAACAATAAACAGAATATACTCGGTGGTCATTTCTAATATTTAATTGTGTAATCATATCACTTTATAGTGTAACCCCTGAAGGATCTAGAGTTCATGGCAGAAAACAAAGGTATTAGGGACGTCTAGAATAGACTCCCAAGCACGATTTTATGTAAAGTCCTTAACTATGATCTAAGAAGGCGCTTCAGGGAGCCATACAGAAGTAGTTGGTAGACTTCCTGCTGCTAGAGGGTCTCTGAGTCCTTGCCCTCTCTTGCTGAACATTCTTAGCAATCTTGTTTGTTTCAGGAGAGCCTGGTTTCCACACTGACTCAGGACAGCAGAAAACACTTAACGGAAGGGAGGAAGGGAGGCTGCTTCACTTCGGTGGCTTTCTCCAAATCAGGCGTGGGATTATTATTTAAGTTCACCTGTTTAGCAAGATTCCTCATGGTTTCCAAAGAGTTCAAAGATTTCACTCATTTCAGAAGGGTCAGTTGGTGCTGATATATCATGCCTATTTAAATTAGACAGAAACTAGCCAGGTGCTATGGTGCACACCTTTAATCACAACTACTCAGCCAGCTTGAGGCAGGAACATCACTTGAACCCAGGAGTTCAGGACCAGCCTAGGTAACATAATGAGATCTCATCCCCAAAAAATAAAAATAATTTTTAAAAAATTACACAAAAACTAATTATTTTGTCTAGATGCTGTAGAAAGTTTAGAATTCTGGTTCTCCTTTAGTAGAATAAACATGTGTTAGAGAAACAGTCTCAAAAGTAGAAACAGTGATGGTACACACCTCTACTATAGATGCTTTTATAATTTCAACATAATTTTCATTCAGCCACTGCTGGGTGGAATCATTCAGTACCCTTACAAGGGTTAGAAGAATTATCAGATTTCTCTATAAACAGCACAGTGAAATGAGAAAAAGTCCTGTTTCTTCTGTGTGGCCATCTCTTCATATCCTTTCTCAGACTTCACATTTTTCTGAATTCTTACATGATCTCTATTCCAGACCAACCTAGGATTGTCTCTTTCAGTCCCCTCTTAAAATGTGTTACTCAGAACTAACCACAGTTTCTTGGTGATCTAACTACAACAGATTGAGGGGCATTATTGCCAACTTCAGAGTGGTTCTCCTATGGCTGTTGTGGCTGCTATACATTATTATTATCGCCATCATTATAAGGCAGGCATATCACATTGTTGTCTCTTACTGAGCTTCACAGGTATTGCTGGGAAGCCAAGTCCACTCCTAATCTTACACAATTTTTTAGTAACTTAATTGAGTACAACATTTATCCTTACTAGATTTAACTTGTAAAAGTTATTTTGAATTTGGGTTCTTTCTCTTAGCCTTGTGTCAGTTCCAATTTTGATAAAGTATGCTTTGGTAGCTTTGTCTAAGTTACTGATACATACTGAATTGAACAGAATGGAACACAGACTCTCTTCAGGATGCCACTATTGACTACCCTCCAGGTGACTATCTATTAGTTAGTACTCTGGGGACAGTTGTTGAAATAATGACCAATCACTTCTTGTGCCCTGTTTCTATAAAGGACACTAAGAATTTTGTCATATTTGTCATCCAACTTGTACTGTCTTTGAAAGTAGCCTAATCTGCTAGTATATTAAATCAATTACGGGAACACCTCATTCTTAGTAAAACCATACTATCTCCTTTTCTAACTGCTTACATGCCATCTGTTCAATCTGTTGAATTTTATAAATGATCAGTGTCATGCTCATTTTAATAATTTTTAGAATCTCCTTTTTACCCTCCCCAAAATTGTGGTGTTTGAAATAACATGGCCTTGACAAGTTACTTAATCACAGATTTTTGTTTTCTTTATAAAGTAATCTAAATTACAGGTTCAGTACTACTGTTTTGTGCATGGATAAAAGTTTGAAAAAATGTTTTTCATTCATGTGTTCAGTCATGGGAAAATATGTTTATTTTTCATCATTGTGTTTAGTACTACTTTTTGGAGATTGATGAGCATTTTAGTTAAAAATCTTTAAAATATCTTAATTATCTTTCAGAAGTTGAGAATTTGACAGAATTTTATTAAATCAAAATAAATAAAATTTAATTTTATTATACTAATTTTACTAAGAGGCTACAGGCCTGGCTAACATACTAGTAAAGATGGGTGGCGATTTATTGCACCTTACATTCTTATTATGTGTAATATAATCAATATACAGTTTTTATAGTGAAATTTGGCAGGGAGGAGGTCTTACCTTTTTTAGAAAGATGCTTCTTCTTAATGTCAGAAATTCTGCCAGTCACTATGATTTCTTTTCCTTTGACTATAACAGTATTTCTAATTAATAAAATTACATTTTTAAAATGTATTTTTATATTCTAATAATAATTCCTGTTTTGTGAAGTGCTTGCTAAGTATTAGGCATAGTGTTAGGCTCTCTGTCTTAGCTGATCTTCCTAATGAATCTTTAGGGCTTGTTGTATTGTTCCAACTTGACACATTAAAAAGACTCGGAGCAAAGAGCCTTATTTTTTAAGCAAGATGCTGAAGGTTCTTTCCACTTCACGATGCCTTCCTGGTAGGAACAGCCTATTTAATCAGTGTTATTATTTAAGTACATTCTTTGAGATACAGTCTAATTTTTTTTTTTTGAATTGGAGTCTTCTTCGCCCAGGCTGGAGTACAGTGACATGCATGCTCACGGCCACCCCAGCATCAACCTGCTGCGCTCCAGCAATCCTTCCGCTTCAGCCTTCCGAGTAGCTGGAACTACAGACGTGTGCTACCACGCCTGGCTATTTTTTATTTTATTGTAGAGACGAGGTCTCGCCAAGTTGCCCAGGCTGCTCTTGAACCCGCGGGCTCAGGCAGTCCACTCAACTCAGCCTCCCAAAGTGCTGGGATTACAGGCTGAGCCACCGAACCTGGCCTAATTTTTTTTTAATGGGAAAAATTGGAGTCTATTCAGAATTCTGAAAAACACTTTTTTTCCTTGTCATACTATTTTACTAAATGTTACAAAGAGACATTTTTGCACTACTGACCAAAATTTCAATGTCCCAGTTAGTGGAGTTTCTTAGTTACTAGTAAGATCTGATGAGAACTTCCTGCCTTTTTCTGGTAATTTGGATCCTCAAACTATTCTACAGAGACTGTCTCTGGCCTGAGAGGTGTGTGGCATCCTGTTGTCTCTTCAACCTTCAAGAGCTAACTACCACAGACACCTGTCTACAAACGATTTGTACTACTCTTTTCTAAAGTCTGGATTTCTTCCTGAAGAAGCCATGGACATTCGCCCCTGCAATTGCAAATATTCCAAATAGTACAGAACATAACCCCAAGTTACATCAGTAGAAATCGATACTTGACAGAAACTTTTCTTTTTATTTCAATCCTTAAATGCCATTTTAAATTTTTTCCAGTCATTTAAACTATTCCCTAGTTCTTCTTGTTGAGTCCCATTTTGTTTTAAAAGAACCGAAGTGTTACAGACAGTTGTTTTAAGGGGCTTATCTTTGTACCATTAAATTGACCAACCTTTAGCCTCAACAACTAATTTTTAATCTTGACCAGAATCAAGGATTCCCCAACACTGATATTGTAGTATTCTAGATTTGGTGCCATTCTAGAATGTCACACTTTTTATTTGAGTTTAAATTAACACTTAAAGGAGGTGAAGATGGGGAACTTACAATAGCAACTTGTCTGGAAGGCAAGCTCTAGCCTCGATCGGATGATGATGAAACTAGTCACAAGTGAACACCTTGGTTACAATCCGCATCTAAATGAGTGAATAGCCCCTGAAAGCAAAAGCTTAAAATTTTAAAAAGAAAGTAGTGAGCTCATGAGTTGGTACATTAGGACATGTCAAACTGGCATCCTTTCTTAATTTGCTGAAAAACACCTTCCCCAAACCCAACAAATTAAATATTTGTATAACCCAAGCTACTGTCCATATAATGTTTGCCAAGTGCCTACTCCAATAAACCTGTGAACGAGGTAAATAAAATCCCTGACCTGAAGGCCATTGTAGTGAGGAGACTTACATATCCCCATTTCCTGACACTAACTGGATTCACTCAGTAGGAAGGATGTCATCTTGGCCCGGGGAATGCATGACACACAGGGCCTTAGAGGTTTTTGTGTGGTTGCCCAAGCTAAAAATGACAAAAGCAAGGAGAAAGGATAACAAGTGCTGAGCCCCCCAAGGTGACTACCGGCAGCTACCCTCAAGCCCAAAGGGTCTATAACTATGTTGATATATTTGTAGGTTGAGGGTCGTCTAGGAAGTTATATGGCCTATGGCCCCCAGCAGACCATGATGTCTTACAGCCAGGAAAGTTTCTTAACAGTTTATTTTCTAGAAATGAGACTGAGTAGAATAGAAGCAAAACTCCACAGTGTTTGACCTTATGTCCTGTGCTTTATTTGTATTACCTTTCCCCTTTATTCCCTGTGCTCTAAGGCATTTGCACATATGCATCCAGTGTGTTTTTACCCAGGAAATTGAACATAAAGCAGGCAATTATAAACCATTGCTTTAGTGCTGGCCATGTAGCCTCTGGTACTATATATTGTGTAATTTTTGGTAACCATGCTCATGGATCACTGCTAGCACAATGGACCCTGCAAACTGTCTTACCTAAGGGTATCAAACCCTTAGGAATAAGCACCACTGCCAAATTGTTAAACTTGCTCTATTGTGACTCTCCTGGCAACTGAATGGGCCAAGTGAACGCACACTGGGTGTCACAGGGACTAAATGCTATGCAGATGCACAGCTGTGTTTGGACAGCCCCTGCCTGACTCAGCAGCAGCATCATGGTATACAGAGTTGCCGAACCTGGGCATGCCGAGGATCACTCAAGAGGGTGGAAACGTTTCACAGTCCTTTGAGTTCTTTTTCACCCACCCCCATTGCTTTGTAATACATTTTCTCTCAAAAATAAGGCCCAGGAGAACCCCCTATAGCTTATTTAGTTTATATATTAGTGAAACTCTATAGAGAGAAAGCAAAACAGAATGCTGCATTAGATGGATTCATCAG